GGCAAGACGGGCTAGCTTACATCATTCGTCAAGCAGCTGCCAAAGCCTGGGAATTCTGGGGCCGTGTCTTGTACTTCGTTGCAAAGCTTGATTCCCCTTCCGACATATTGGAGGTTGTATGCGAGACCAGTGAGAAGTGTGATGCGATCATTACAGTAAGGTTTTTGGGGTCATGCACGGGATGTGCCACCCTTCGCTTGGGATTATTGCTCAGAGCCTCAGCATGAAAACACATACAAACATAATTACAAGCAAATGCGTTCATTCACTCAAGATCTCACCTGCATGACCTACCCGTTGCTTTCCGAAACACAATGCACCTGCTTCAGTTACAGCCGGGCCGAAGCGTTGAAAATTAGACGCTCAATGCTTTAAACTCCGGTGGCTCAATACTGTGGCTCTGGAAGCAACCTGTTGACGCGTCATGCGAAAGCAGGGCTCAACTGGTCTCGCTTCCGTCTTATCTAAACTGCTGCCACGGAAGCAGATCAGCTCCTGTTCTGGAAGCCCTCTGGTGGCATTACAAGCCTTTACAAAGAGCATTGTTTCGGTGCTGAAGTTCCATGATAAGCTTGCCCAGAACGGTGCCCTGCGCACCTCAGTACCTTTCGCGCCCAACTCTGTGAATGTGCCGTCCGACATGAGGCCAATGTCCTGTCACTATTGACACGGGTTCTGGTCTACTGACGCCAGTGACATGAGGCTGAGACAATGGAGCCAAGTGGGATCTCTGCAGGCACCCCTGCCTGCGTTTCAGCTGATACGATAACTGAAGCGGGTCCGGAAAAGTGCCTTCTTCCATGTAAGAGCTTGGAAATCCGCGCCCATGTCGTTCGCAGTCTGCGCCGTCGGCAAAGTGCTGACTTCCGAGTCTGAGTAAGTGTGCTTTGCCATGCGAATCAGATCAGCTGGGGAGCGCACGGCTTTCATGAACATCAAAGTTCTCTCTTCCAGATCACCCACTTTCTCGCCAACCGCTACGATCTTGTCCATATACCACTTGCCTGTCATGACTGCGGAAGCTTGCAGGCATAGCTAGTCATGCTACATGCTTGACTCTCGATCCAAGCTTGTGGCATTTCTCTGGCTTCAGATACGACCAATACCTGCGGCGGAAGGATGTATGCTTACACGCTTACTGTAGGGCTCCGAACGCCTGTCACTGGAAGGCTCGACTTCCAGCGCAACAACTTCTGTCTTCGGCGGATACGAAGGCAGCCACAGACTCAAAGCCTCCCCAACCTTCGAGTTTGCACATACGAGCATTTTGTAGGTCCAGTAACTCAGTAACCAGTATCTTGCAGTGCCGGCTGAGGATGTGACGAAGCTGTCTCGCTGCCAGTCATTCGGGTCCTGGCCAGCAAGCTTTGCACGGGGTGTTTCAGGCACACTCTCAAGAACTTTGAGCTTGCTGCAACGCTGTGCAAGTACCGCTGGCGGTCCAAGAATCCCCCAAAAAGTTGCCGTTGTTGAAGGTGGGCCCTCGCATAGTTTCGCGAAGCCATCCCGCCTGTGTTGTGGTTTCGATGGTTGGCTAGAGGAAGCTTGCGACGCAACGTGACACCATTGCAGATACATCACCTCCACCGAAACACCAGGCCAACTTGTCTACAGCTATCCAGGATGACGAAACCTTGCGTTGGCGAAAAATGTGGATTTGCTCTTCCCGGAGCTGTCACAGCAGCCAGGGCCAGCTAGCTGCTAGCACTGAGAACCATGGCAGGAGTAAGAGGCCTGCCATAGTTGCACAAGCACAGCAGGCGAAGCTCATGAGCTTCCACCTTCACAAAGTGAAGCGCAGTTTGTGCGGAGAATGCCATTGCTGTCCGACCTGTCTCGCCGACAGGTGCTGTAGCCTCGTTGGCATCCGCAGAGGCCTCTTTGGGACTTTGCTGCATCACTGATGCTCTGCTCAGCAACTGTAGCTGCTTCCATCGCTTAAGCGGTCGCCTCTTTGGCCTCCGTCCGAGTACATCGAAGCATCCTGGACGCGGGTTTTCGGCAGGAGCGAAGATCTGAACGTCATGTGAGAGCAGGAATGCAGGCCGGTTCAATTGAGTTTTCGAGTCTTGTCGCACACCAATACTACTTCTGACGATTCGTCTTGTGAACACCGAAGAAACCGGCGCAAGGGCCGCAGCGGCTATTTGTAAAAGTTCAGATTTAAAGGGTCGATCTCGTGGAACTTAACTGAACTTCGCATAGTTGAAATCACTGGCCGTTTCGTCCCGTTTGAGGTATTCGAAGATATGACATGACCTGCAATAGCATGGCAGGGCAACTGCTGTTACAGAAACTGCCGAAAGAGCACAAGTAGCTCGCTCCATCGTACGAAAGGTCGACGCGACATGCGAGTGTCTGTAAGCCCCGTGCGCCGACAACGCGTGGACCAGGGCAGATCAAAGCTCAGCGCGGTTTCGCGACAGCGCTTGAACGCCTAGTTGGTCTGTAGGAGTGGTCTGTACATGTCTCCATCAACGTACAAGTAATGCGATGTTCTCAAGTGCTAGATGGTGCTTGACTTCTGGCTTGTGTGGTCTTGGACTTGTACCACACGATGTCCGGTAGCATCAGGAGGTATGTTACCCTCGCGGCTAACCACGGCGAATCAAGGTGTAATGCCTGCAGAACTCCTCGGCCTGTTGAAATCTGGTGTCCTGGGACCTTCCGCCGAGTCCTAACGTTTCGAGCTAAAGAAACTCTTCTGGCCTTGGCTTGCAGGGGTTCGCAGGGTGTCGCACCGGAGGTTCCAGGGTTCAGCTGGGCTGTGGCTGTCTGCCGGTCGCTGCTTAAACGATGTTGGAATGGTTTCATGAACATAATATTTATTTCACGATGTTTCGTGTGCTTGACATTCGGAATCATTCATGATTAAATTGCTGCCTTTTCCAGGTGATGTAACTCGGGTGGGGCTGGCGGGCTGGTACGGCTGGTACTTCCTCCGAAGCTCCAGCCGGTTCTCTTCGGGTGCCTGCTGAAGCCCTCGCTCTGTCCTTTCTTATCACAGAGACTGTGAGTCCCTGGCAGGGTCCTGTCTTCGATTCAGAACTGCCCGCAGCATCCTCGGCTGAAGATTCTGCGTGCAGGCGGAATCGCAGCGCTGAGCCATCTGAGAGCTCTGCCAAAAAGTGGCGCGCGCCATCACAGAAAACCCAGCATGATTGAATTTGATTCGACAGCCGCCTGATCTTTATTTCAGTTGCTCCATAAAGTAGGACTAAGTAGGATGTGCTCTTCCGCATGGACCTGAAGCCAAACTTGCTTTCACTGAAAATCACACATTAACCTGAGATCACTCCTGCTCTGCATGGCTTTCTTCAGCCTACCAGTATTTCCAGAGCGTTGAGGTCGCAGACTTCCACTCAAAGCACTTCTGCTTTCAACCGCTTATTTTGTTGTTTCGAGTTCAAGTTCTGCCAATGCCCTGGGCTTTGCCCAGAGGCCGAGCGCCTCTGGCAGGGGGCCCCTGTAGGCCAACTCTGGGTGGCAGCGGCGCAGATCCCCCAGCAGACGCAGAGCGTAGCCCGGGGGACTGGATCGCCTGCACTTCCAGCCTGGCATCTAGCTGTACAAGACCCTCTTTGTTAACCTGATGCACGCGCAACATTGCCAAGGATGCAAAGATGCCCATCACAACAAACGTACACATGCAGGCAATGCTTGCTCCTAAGGAGGCTTGCATTGGCCAGGAGTGAGATGCGTAAAGTGCCGCGCAGGCTGCTTGCACTGCACTAGCAAACAAGTGGATGCTGTTGATTCCAAACTTTCGTGGCACAACAAGCTGCATGTCATGGTCGTTGGCTTGGCAGACTGCCAAGAGCGATGCTGCTGGAAGATAGTGGAGGGGTGAAGGGTTTTGCTGCGCATCCAATTCTGGTGGCAATGACGACTTGTGGCTCTTGACACCAGTGCGGTGCTGCCTTCCCTTATGACGCAGCAGTGTCCAGTTGTGGCCTGGGCGATCTCGACCAAGCTCATGAGCGAGGCAGCGCATAGCCGACGGAAAGAATCCAAAAAAAAGGAATGCAAGGCCGTGGATAGCTGCTTGATATGTCAAAACGGCAGCCTGAAAGAGGCTAAGCTCATCCCAATATGGCGCTTCCCGCTCGTAGCGGCTGTTCAGCAGATCCAAAAGGAAAACGGCACCGAGCGCAGCATCTGCTACCAAGACAAGCTCCCAAACCAGCCAGAAAGTATGCGGAAGCTCGAGTGATGCAAGCACAGCCGATCGCTTGCCACTGGTGCAGCACTGAAGCGACGGGAAAAGCGAAAGGCAGGCTGCCGCACCTGCAACGAAAGGTAGCCATGTCCAGGGAGGGTCACCATGCGGAGATAACAGGATAGGAGCTGCCGTGCTCTCCAGAGCATACTCTGGCTCAGTGAGATCCAGCGGTGGTCGAGTCGGTGCCGGCGTCGCGGGAGGAACATACGGATCGAGAGTTCTGACCAGGAGGGTACCCAAGCGCTTGCTTCTGTGTCGGACATCTGCTTCGGCTTCACATGACCTCAGTGGTCTCAGCTCTGTGATCACAAACGAAGGCAAACTAAGAATGCATCTGAGATGAGACAGATGCTACAGTAGCTAAGCTTCGGACACTGTGTATGTTGTCGATGGAGCCAAATTCGTCATGGACAAAGTGCAGCCCCGGCTGCTACAAATAGCAGATGTTCGGGGAATCGTGCTGATGCCAATTGCTGTGACATTACCTGAAGCAATCAGCAAGCAGGACAAGTGCTTGACGTCGAACTTTCAGCGCGTGCATCTGTCGGCATCTGCTGTGCAAACCAAACCGGAAACAAGTCCTCGCAAGCATTGGGCTCGCTACAACGAATTCGGGTGTTCTTGTCCACTGCTGCCAACATCTCTGCCTGCCATGAGCAGTTTGATCCACATCGGCTGTCTCCCGCAGCAGGCAGACATCTTTTTCGTCAGAAATCTTTTTCGTTGGCCCTATTGGCTGACCGGTTTTTGTCTTGGGCATCCGACGACCGACTCGGCCCAGTTTCAACTTTCATGAAAAGCACCCGGCCATGACGTTCTGGTCTTGAGAATGGGCCTGGGACCCTAGCAGATACGTTTCTACATGAAGCCTGCCGTCCCCCAGCCAGAACGATGGATTCACCCAGCCAGGAAGTCAATTTGGCTTCCGACTGACTTCGGGATTTGGTATTCTCTGCAAATTGAAGTCAGGACCTTGTTGATCGACAGGCTGGGGGAACTACCATGGTCTGTTGCGCACTGTCCAACATGATCAAAACTGCCCCAAACTTGCCGGCCACACTGACGTCGTGGTCACAGACTGTGTCTGCAATGGCAACATCGTCTCGTCCCCTGAAAAGTGCCATTTCTGATCCATGGCAGTACACGACTCCGCCCTTAGGATCAACTGCCTGTCTCCACTGAGCCTGACACCGAATCGACCACTCGTCTGCTCCCAGACGCAATTCGCATGATAGGCGAAGTATGGGCCATTGCAGTCACACCCTGCGCGCAGAGATAACGTCATACCATCTCCACACATCTCTCAGCCCATAGTCTCGGCCTGGGATTCCAGCAGTGATGTTCGGCTTCTGCTCACCGTATTGGCCATAGTCATCTCCACAACCGCACTTTCCGCGCAACCTTGGCGAGACAGCGAGCAGGTCGTGGCGAGTCGACCCCGGCCCGTGCTGTCTGAGTCTCAAGCTGGAGGCCGAAGTAGCGGAAACCGAAGCAGGCATCGGCCTTCAGCTCAACTTCAATTGCTGCTCATGGTGCGGGATCGCCGTAACCCCTCTGCCGAGGCTGGGACGCACGACACCTGACGACACATTACACATCTAGACCCCAGCATCTTTCGGATACTGCAGGAGATTCCAAGCACACTGACAACAGTCTTCAACCCTTGATGCAAAGGATGTTCCGCGAGGGTGACTTGCGACTCAGTTCTTTACTGAGCACTATCGATCAAACTTGAAGCGTCTACGCCCAAGGAGGTCCGCATACGCGCTGACTTAGGTCTGCATTCAGCTTTGCTGAATCCAGTGTGACTGCAGCATCTTGCAGCAATGTGAGATGTGCATGTCTGCGAAGTACAGAGCATGCTGCGTTGGAATCTAAGTCTTGCATGGAGTGCCCCGAGTAGGCTTCTCCGTGTCCAGCGCTGCGCAGATAGAAGCTTCTGCGCATAAAGAAGCTAGTTTGAATTATCTCCGGTGGCATGTTCTAGAATCATATTATAGATCTGGAGTGCCGCACACTCCAAATGGACGGCTATGGTGGCCACCGGCGCTCACGGCTTGGATCCGGTCGGCCTTCAGGGTGCAAAACTGGAGTTTGCAGTCGCTTTGTAGTGCAGGGCAAAAGGCCTCCCAAAGCTGCAGGAACGGAGGGAACGGACGGGGTCGTTCGAAGGGTCGGCAGGGAGCCCATCCTTGCCATTCCCGAGTGAGGTGCAAGCGGAGGCAACGAGACTGAGGGCGCCGAATCCTCTCAGCCACATGATTTCTAAGCACGAGGCAGTGCAAAACTTAAGTCCGACAAACAAGGGGAACAGCTACGAAACCATCCTGCATGATTACGGCGGTCACATTCTGGAAGAAGCTGCGATGTTCCGGCGATATGTCCTGATTCGCTCTCTATCAAGGCACCGTGGACTAAGGCAACTGCCTTGTCACATGAAGCCAAAGTGCCATCCAATCAGTACTCGTTTCTTTGCCAGCAACGGTCAATGCCAGCGGATCACCTCTCAAATCCTGTGCGGCGGCCATAGACAATTTCGAAATTGTTTACAAGGATCAAAGGGAAGCTTAAGCCAAAAGGGTAAATAAACAACGGCGGGCCTTGGATGGATTCCGGCCCTGGCCCTCTCGCGTTGCCTCCGGCAGCCGCAGGTCGGATGCCCTCCCGGAAGAATGGGACGTTGGGCAGCCATCTTCAGACAAAAGTGAGAGCACCAGCCTGTGCCCTTTGTCTTTGGCTCGGTCCTGACCTTTCAACTCCTCAAATCCGGTGACAAGACAACGCAGTCGCGGGGAGTCTGTGAAGGCTTCTAGCTCCCGCCTGGGCTTTGCAAAGGAACCCTTGCAGCTCTTGCGCCTCAGTTTCGAGACACCAGGTTGGAGCCGGTCATATCGAGGCTTCGCTTTTGAGATATCTTTCAGGCCCAGCCTGGGAGGAAAATGCCTTCTCCAATCGATACAGCCGTGCATCTACCGAGGTTTTGGCCGCCTTGTCTGCCTCTGACAGCTCTTTGAGGGCTTCGTGCCTGGTGCGCAGCTCAGCCGTGACCTTTTGCAGCTCATCCAACTGGACTTTGCCATCTCGAAGCTGGATCGCAAGCTCCTGGCAAACCGCAAGCTTTTTCGGAAGCTTTCGTCCCGAAGTTTATGCAGCTTTGTCCTGGATGCTCTTGAGCACCGCTTCCAGTTGTTGTCCAGTTTGTGCATCAGGGGAATGTCGTAAGCTGCTCTCCATTCGGCCAAGACGCCCGTCGATAGCAGTGTGATGGGCCATGCGGGAATTCAGCTCACTGGCAACTTGTTGTTGCATCTCCTGGAAGCTCCGCTGGAACTTCTGAAGTTGAAAGGACTGCTCGGATGTCAGGGAGGCCATGGACTGCTCCAGGTGTGCAAATCGCTGCTCGGCAGACCGGAAGCTCGCCTCGCGCTCTTCACGGAGTCCCTGAATAGTCACCTGTAGCTCCTGCATCGAGTTTACGAAGCCGCCATCTTTGCTCCGTTCCTCCAACGTCTTCAAGCGCAAATTCCAAGAGCCCTGCTGCTGCGCAAGTTGTGCGGCCTGTTGCGCTGCCTGTGTAGCTTGTGCCTCAGCGCTGGCCAAGGACTGCCGTAGCTCCTCAATGGAGAGTTGCGCTGGGGACCTAGTCGCTTGTACCTGCTCGAGAAGCTTCTCGAGGGCCAAGATCTCCTGAGAATTTTTACGACCAGCTTCTGCCATCAAACCTTCAGCATTGGTCATACGCTGAGCAAGGGCAGCGTGGTGCGCCACCTGAGCCCTAACCTGACTGGCCATCTCAGTATGGGATGTGTTCTGTAGTTCTAGCATCTGCTTTTGCTTGTCGTGAGCATCCATGAAGCCTGCAACTTTGCACTCCAGAGCATCCAAACGAGATGCCATGGAGTTCTGCTTGGACTCATGTGCGGCGTGTTGTCCTTCCAAGGCTTTCTTGACCTCCTCCAGTCTCCCAGTCTTGTCACTCGACAAGGTCACATTCATGCGTGCCTGGAGTGCTTCGAACTTGGAGTTGAGGATTTGCACTTCGTGACCGGCTTCGGGAAACCTGTCCCAGAGCTCTTTCACCATTGCCTCGGACCGCGATGCCACGTCGATCGACATTGCAGCCTTTGTCCTCAGTGCTGCCACCTCTTCCCCTAGAGCTTTCACGTTCTCCACAAATGCCGATGTGACAGCTGACTGCTCTCGCAGAAACCGATGTTGAAGATCCTGACGAAGACTTCAGACAGATCAGATTGCATCTTCAACTGAAGACTCCCAGCAGAGTTTTCTGTCCAATGACGCGCAAGCTATGGCAGCTGCAGACCCTGCTGGAGCCTGCAAGTCGACAACTGAACGACGATTCTGGGTACCTGCGCCAGCAATGCTGTTTCTTGCACGTCGACGGTCAATTTTGACGACTTTGACTGCCCACGCCTGCGTCTGTGCGCCACGGTTCCCTTCCTGTTAGCGAACCAGCAGACATGAGATGCAATCCTGCCATTGTTCTCGGCACAGAGCTTGGAATGGCTGGGCCAGGTGCTGTCTTGAGTCTGGACAGGCTTGGTTTCTTTGTCAGTCTCATATTATCATGGACTGCCTGCGAGAGCCGAACCAGAACACTTTCTGCCATCACGGCTGCAGCGTCTTTGTCACACAGACAAACGTTCGCTCCAAACATAGTGTCACAGGTACAAGCAGCAGCAACGCACGGTCCCAACCTGAACTTGGCTGCCGCGGTCTTCTGGCAGATCCTTGCCGCGAAGCACCCATGCCGCTTGCTAGACTTTCAGAGTGAGTGAGTGTGAGGTGAAGATAGGGCGATAACAGAGAGAAAGAGCCAGCAGGAGGCCATGAGGCCCGGACTGGATCCGCTGGTCGATCAGTATAGCATCCCATCCTGAAAAGAGGTCTGAGCAGCAGGAACTTCTTTGACACATCATGATGCTGTGGACTACTAGTAAGTTGTCGGCAAGCTGGGAACTGGTCGCAGCACTCCCATGCGACCTGCAAGCATCGAGATCACCAGAACCTCTGGAAGCTTTCTGAAAGCTAATCCGGAGGCCTTTGCCAAAAATCTGCGAACCTCCAACCACTTTGCATCGAACCTCGAATCACGCCAGGACCCCAGCTTAGCTTCTCTCTCGCGACTGATTGTGTGCCATCGTGTGCTGTGCACCTCGAACTCTTCACCGGCAAACTCAGAGACCTGTATGCCTCGAGCATTTCATGAGTTTGACGGCTGCTCGCCGTGGGGCCCGTGAAATGGGGGCACTGGCCCTCCACGTCTGTCGTGCCATTCATGGAATCCGCCGTGCCAAGGCCCTGGAGAAGCGTCCAGGCACAAAAGGCAGAGCACGCGAAAACGCGACGCGTCAAAAAGGTGGCCAGGGAGCAGAGTAGAGCGCGACGTCCACATCAGCGGAGCCTGGAAAACGTCGACTTCACTGCAACGCTCTGCATCTGCATTGCACTCTGAGCACACAGCTTGGCTCCCATGAGCCCAGCGGCGCCTCAGCGACCAACATCTACAGATATCTACAGTACCACCTAGTGGGACCTAGTGAAGCTAGTGCCAACTCATGGCGACTGCATGTGCCTTGAAGGCTGCACATCGAACGCTTGCCATCCACTGCGACGTCAGCTCAACCCTGGCACAGTGCTCGAGGATGCGATTACACCACTCCAGCTCATGTCGTGGCATGGCCTTCGATCGTACTATCATGTACACCCATGTGTTGCACCGTTGCACTGATGTATCTTTTGAGACTGAAGTCGGATAAGCATGCAAGCGCATGTTGCAAGTCTCGAGGTGAAACTTGAATGTCAAGACTCCTATCATTGGGTGATGGGCGCTCTGTGTGGATGACCTCAGATCTGCAAGAAAGCATCCAAACACTCCTCCAAAGGATACTCGCCGCAGTGTTCTCTTTGGTAGGCACAGTAGTGAGGAGGTGGAGGTGGAGCTGGAAAAGCGGGACTTCAGGGCGTGCATATGATATGACGTGAGAGAGGGCAGGGTGCGGTATGTGTTGCTGCACAGTGTCGGGAGCCATACTTAGATCGGGACCGACTCACTGCCTACGTACCGATGTGTTGATCTGTATATTATGCTTCATGAAAAGGCATGCATCGTCCCACAGACCATACTGCACCAGCTTCTACGGTTGTTGGGCTTCCGTCATGTTGCATGCTGGGGGTTTGAACCCAGACAAGTCTGCGTCTCTTTACTGTCCCTGAGCAGCTGCACCTGGAACAAGGCATGAGACACTCTTTGCCACACAAAGTCAGGGATCCGATGGACGAGCACCTCGGCCTCTAGCATTCGAGCATTCAGTCAAGCAGCCCTTCGAAGTGCTGTGACAGAAGCAGCTCGACATGCAGCCACCACATCGGCATAGGTCACCTTGAAGAGTGCAAGCTAATCGCGGTGTCTGCAGCAATCGTGGGCACTGCAGTTCTCTGTATCACAAAAATCCGGAGCCTTGCAGAGAGATTCCAGCACATCCTCATCAGGCTGAACCATCGTGGCTTGATTCCCCAGATGCCGTTGCATCAGCGCAAGCACGTCCTCGCAGCAGCTGCACAGTCTGCGGCGATGTGCGACAGCGTGCAAATTTGCTAATTGCTGTCCTTCTCTGTGAGCTTGGGTGTGAGTTGCAGACAAGTTGAGAAGCGGTAAGGCGCAAGAAGCCAGCTCGGCAGCTGATGTTGGACCTTCGTCGAAGTTCCCACGACGAGCATCAAAGCCTCGGAGGCCCGTGGGCTGTAAGAGACGCCAGCTCGGAGTTCTCGATGCTCCTGTCGCCTGGCCTTGATCGTGTCGAGCTCCTGTCGGAGAACGTAAGAGATGCAAGTCTCGGGTGCCGATTCCGCTCCTCCGACTTCTCCAGCTCCAGCTGCTAGGTTTTCCAGGTCCTCCAGCACAATGACACTAGGCGCGCAGCCTCTGGCTGATCTGAAGAGGGCTGAAAGGTGCTTCTCAGCATCACCAACGCGTGATGCCAACAGATCAGCCGGAGACGCGTTGAAAAGGTGGGTCGACAGTTCGGCTGCCAGTTGTGCAGCAAGAAAGGTCTTGCCACTACCAGGGGACCCACTCAGCAGAATTCCAATCGGTGGTTCAGTACTGCATTGTTCCTCATTTTGCATACACCTGAAAGGTTGAACTACCATGGATCGCAGGAGAAGGACTGCTGCATCCTGGCCAATCACCGCATCCAAGCCTGGGGACGAAGTCTTCAAAATGTTCAGCACTTGTGGCTTCGTGGCACAAGTTCCACGAATGGCGGCAGGATCCACAACAGCTCGAGCTGAGTCGAAGTGACTTTTCCTCAACGTTGCCCTGGTGCCTTCGCGTGCAGCGGCCGTCAAAGCGGCTGCACGACAGAGTGCCACCAAGTCTGAAGGCAGGAAGCCAGCTGTGATCTCCACCAGCCAGGGCATCAAGACAATGCTCTCCTCCAGTTCCACATTCCGCAAAGAAACCTGGAGCACGGCTTCGCGCTGTTTCCAGCCCAGTGGCACGGGCAAAACCACGGACCCAATCGGACCAAACTCCAGGCTACTCGCGGCACTCTCCGGCCACGGCACCAGCAGGAGGATAGGAAGCCGTTCGCGGTACCACATCTGCATTTCTTGACATAGCAGCTCGACGAAAACTTCTTTCAGACACAGCTGAGCCTCCTCTGTGCTCTCTTCGCCCCTTTTCTCCACAAGACCTTCTGCACCTTCCAGCAGCAAAACCTCCAATGTTGGTTGTATCAGCATGCCTGCATCGCGCCGGCAGAATTAGCAATCTATTCTTTCATCCGTAATTATTTCACCTGTCCAACGACGAAGACCCAGCAGATGACAAAAGTCACATAACTCGCCATAGCGTTAGCTTGCGCAGCAAAGGCTTAAACTCAACCCTGTCGCGGTGAGCCTTGTGCGCGTTGTCGAGCCCGAGCTGTAGACAACGACAAGTTCGTTCGGAAGAGTGCCAAGCCTTCTCTGTTCGCTTGTCCATGTAACATAGAAGGGCAAGCCCCTGCCAGGCCTGCCAAAGCTAGAAACTCCCTTCGCTAATATCTTAAGGCACAGCAGCACTTGTTCGAAGTGGTCGACCAGTTGTGGTTGTGGCTCTCTGCGATCATCGCCAATTCTGCAGTTTCACCTCTTGCAATAGCAATTGAAGGTGGTAACACCGATTGTTGTAATCGAGTGATCCTGCATTCTGATAAATTTTCGTCGTGCCAGTACTTATCAGATGAACTTGAAGATGCATTCAAGTCCCGTGCTCTAGCCAGCGCTACCTCTCTTATTCGCTACCTACCTGCCTGCCTGCTTGCCTGCCCACCTCTACACATACATGCAGACTTCTGGGGCAATCCTCCCTCTGATATATTTGTTTCTGAAAGACACTCCTAATCTCAGAAGCGAAGACAGACACCCACTGCGCGGTACATTGGGGTTCTAGGCTTAGCCCCATGCCACAACACTGCAGAAAGAACTTACGGAATCACTCGCAGGTGCCAGTATCAGCCGTGGCATAGCCCTGTTCGTTGGGCAACCAGCTATGCTCACGGTGTTGCCGAAACATATGCAAATCCCCTAATAAACTGCTGTGAGCTTGCCGTTGAAAGCCGGCTTGGTCTTCAAAGTTTGAAGCCAATCTTCTTCGACATAATATTGATCAGTCGCTCCCTTGAGCAAAGAATCCAGCTTGTTCTTGGGAGGACTCTTCAAAAGTTTTCGGGCTTCCTCATCGCTTGAGTCTTTGCTCACCTTGGCCTTTTTGATAAGCTTGGGTTTGAGGTCGGCTTGAATAGGTAACCCAGTGTATGTAGGGTTACTGGATTGAGCTTCCTTTTTGTCAGAGCTCAGCCATGGGCTGCCAGCATGGTTTCGGCTTTTGCCAAGGCTTCAACTTCATCAGACGAAAGTTTGGCTGGCAGCTTGGCTTTCATCTGATCTACTAAATCTGACGATGATTTTTGCATGAATTTAGAGGCATCCGTGTGCTTGTCGCGAAAAAAATGTTCGAGCTACTTCGTCAATATCGAGATCCAACTCTCTGATTCTTTTCAAGAGTTGAGTCGTGAAGACGGCTTCCGATGCGGATCGGGTCCAAACAATTCCTTGATACCGTCCTTCACTCAACGGACGAAACTAACAACTCAGAAAGGCCTCTGTGGGAATTCCCATGCTCAAGCTTTGCTTGCGGCTCCATTCATTCACTGAACTTCTCGAAAAAGCTGATGGCCTTGTTTGCCTACCGACTGACGATCTCAAAACTTCTCATCAGAATGAAAAGACACTGGAAGAGTCGGTTTCGGGCTGGTAGGTGTTGCCGAAGATGGCAGCGATGGAGGCTTCGAAGGTTTTTTCCAAGCAGTATCGCCGCTGTTGGACCAGCTTTGCCAATCATCCGAAGACCAACCTTGTTGCCAGTTGTTAGACCGATCATTTCAATTCTTGCCGCGCCAATCAGACATGGCTTCTCAACTGAAGAGATCTGTGGGAGGATGTAGCAGCTTCGACTTCGACAATTCCTTGCTCGGCCGAACAGGTCTCAATGCTGAGCGAGTGCATTGCTCGTAGCAAAGCGGGAACAGAAAAACCAGCCTTCAGGAGCTTGGTTGTGTTTTCTCAAACACAAACATCTCTCGTTTGAACCGCTCAGGGTTCAGCAGCAGGTAGCCGATCAGGACCGATCAGGGCTCAGAACCGTTCAGGGTTCAATGCAGTAGGCAATCCTACCGTAGACGGCACGTTGAACGAAAAACCGTGTCGATACCCACTTGTGCAATCCCTCCTCTGAGTGAGATCTTTCTCAATGTACTTCCTACTTGATTCAGAGGCGAAGACAGATAGCCACAATGCAGTACAATGGGGTTCTTGGCTTAGCCCATGGCCACACACTGAAAAAAAGACTGCAGGTACGTCCAGGTTATTAGTCTGGGTATCCTCCCAACTGAAGAGTGGCTTCGTTGGCAGTGGATTCTTGAGTGGGCCACTGCCCCCTGCTAAGATGCGAGACACTCAGAAAATCCTTTCCAGTCCTATCCCATAGTACTGTAACAGGGTTGCATGCGCACGCACACACACACACATCTACACATACATGTGAGCCTTCATTTATTCTTTCATGCATGCATGCATGCATGCATTGACTTTTTCACACATACATACACATCATGCAAACATGGATACCTGCACGCGTATGTCACTACACAATTGCACAGCATTCGATCCTCGCTTGCAAGTGCATGCCAAAGACTCCCAAGCAAGTTCCGCCTGCACGAAAACTATCTATACTTGCGCTGGGAAATGCTGTTTTCATTCATCTGCAGTGCGTGTTTCAACAAATTTCGACTGACTCGCAGCCTTGCTGCTTGCACTCCTGGGTTTTCGAGGTTCGGTGACCTCCGCTTTTCCATCAGAAGCCTCTCGACGTGCCTCCCCGGAATCACTCATGTCATGCCATCCACGTGAAGCGTCACTCAGAGTCGCAGACCTTTCTGGAACTCGGTCTGAGAATTGTTTGAGCTGGTCAGGTGTGCTAGCCGAACTCTTGCAAAGTATCCTATCCGAAGTCTAACGAGCAGCTTTGGCCTATTCCAGCCCTCCAAGTGTTTCCCTTTCCGGTCTTTACGGACCAAATGATGCACTTGGAGTGCAGCTGGGTGCGATTACAAGCCGATGCCTCAGGACTGTGTAGGATCACTGAGAAGTGGAAGCTCGCATCTACTAAAGCGGCCTGGCTTCACACCCACAGCTTCGGCAAAGACAGTGGCCAAATAGGTCTTTCCAGATCCAGGCGGCCCCTTCAGAAGAAGAGCATGTGCTGTTGCCTTCCGCAATTGCAATCACCGTTTACCAGCAACGTTCAAAAGCATGCTTGAAGCGAACCGACGCACGACTGACTGACTGACAATCCTTGCGCAGTTGATCCTTGTGCCTCGCCATGGAGAATGCAGCTGGCCAGCTGCAAAAGGGAATCAATGGCTGCATCAAAACCGCCGACTCGAAGAAGAAGGCTCCTGGGGCAGGCGGGTTCTTCTTCAGATGCTCTGGCCAAAAAATCAGCACTTGCCTTCGCCAGTTTTGCAAGGCTTCTGGCACCGCGCAGGCATCCAAAGCACCACAAAGTGACGAGGTCTCCATGTTCGGCATGCAGGCCGGGATCCATGCTTATTCCGCACTTCCGACGCGGGCTGTTTTGAGCCATGCAGCTAAGGGGCTATAGACCGCTGCGCGATGCATCTACCGCTACACCAAAAGCACAGCTTCGCGCACACTGCCGGCCTCAGGATGCCAAAGAAATTCGGATGTGCTGAGGCACTTGATACCACCAGCTCTGGGCAGTCCACAGTACAGCCCTGCTCTGTGGCAGTTTCTGGCCCGTCCTCGCAGTTCTCCAATGGATGGGGGTAGTCCTCGTCGTCGAAGCACGTGACTTGACGCCTGCTGACTCCCATGCCACAAGCGCCGGCACCACCGAGCGGTTCGCACGCACCAAAGCTGCCAGTGACGAGTCGGTAGTTGGCGGGAGGTGCGAACAGGCCTGGCATGCGCGGATGCGGGGCGGGGGCTGGGAAGAGCTCTGCATAGCTCTGCGACAACTCCGAGTAAGGCTAAGACCGACTTCGGCCACGTGGACAGGATGCGAGTTACCTCCGAAGGTCTCCAAGAAGTTGATGCGCCAAAACCGGAAAGAGTTGCTATCACCGTGGAGGTTCCACCTTGCGAGAGAATCTCCGTGCAGTCCGCACGCACGTCAGACATGCACCATATTTAACATTCGAGAGCAATGAGAACTTTATGCGATTACCATAGCAGGGCCTGCGCGTCTCTCCAGATGACCAGAAGGCGCCCACACTGAAGGGTGTGCGTAGCTCAAGCCATCCAGCATTTTCATCATTTCTTGCTTCCAAGGAGATCATAGAGGGCCCTTGCAAAGAAGTGCAAACGGTGCACTCCCCAGATGTCAACGAGAATCCTTCCAGCTCTCTAACCTCTGCCAGGAGCCGCACGAAGCAAAGGCTGACAGCACGCAACCGACACCACCAGTTACAGCCACTAAACTGCGCTTTCCTTGCCGTGGCATGCCCTGGGCCCCGGCTTTACCCAAGTCAAAAGATAGCCACTGCGGCGCGGGCCCGGCTGATGTCCAGGCCTCTAAAGCAGTACGCATCAGTACGCCACAGTACGAGTCTTCGACACGGTGAGACCCCGGCCGTGAGGCTTGAGCCGTCGACGAGAACCGCACAGCCCAAGTCCGCGGTGGCGGCACTGAAGACAAGGCACGTTCAAGCGATCTCAAGCGACAAGAACGGAATCATGCGCACCGTTTCCCGGAGCCGGCCTGGAAGAGCTGCAACTAGCAGTGCAAGCTGCACCGCCCTGATAGCAACGAGGCATCTTTGCAGGCTTGAAGGACATTTGAGCCGAGCCTGGCAAGCACAAATCGAAGTTCCGCAGGCCCGCGATCTTGCTGGAGGCTCGCCAGTTGTGCAGCGATTGTCGCTGTAGCTCACTCCATCTTCTCCTGTGTCACAGATGTCGGGAGATTTGGAATGGTTTCCAGACGCTGGCCCTAGCACAGCCCGACGTCGGATCTGCTTCGCGTTTCTTTGTGGCAGAACTTTCTTCACTGACTGCATGGCAGCTCGAAAGCAGCTCCTCTGCAAACCACCTCAGTAGCCGTGTATACGCTGCCTTGCAGCTCTACAGCTGGACTACTCTGTCTCATGACTTTTTGGTCGAGGCGCTGTCCTCTCCTGTGACCCACCACCGCATGTGGCGGAGCATAGCGTCCAATGAGAAATTTCGAAAGTATAGCCCAGCTTCGGCATCAACTGCAGCTCTGCAATGGCAACTTGTGTACCTCGGCTACTGTAGAGGATCCGCTTCTAGGAACAAGCAGGGACACGCCTGAGACTTCAGAGGCATAAGCTAAGCGTCCGCTGCCTCCCAGCATGGTCAGCACGTAGCTTCTCCAGGAGCTGTAGCCTGGGAATGCTGCGAAGGGAAAGGCTGAAAGCTGCTGCTCAAAGCACGTCGCCCGAGCCTCCCAGATCTCTGATGTGAGTTGTGCCTTCCTGCCATGTCTTGCCCCATGCCTTAGACGTGCACAACTACTGGGCCACGGACTCGTGCAAGGATTTCAAGCCTTTTGCCAAGATGGCTGCGTCTTTGCGCATTGCTGCGAGTTTCCTTTACATGCCCTGCAGCCCTGCAGTGCGTGGCATGCGATTGCAGGCAGGCTGCCTCGTCCAGGATTTGGCGCTGCGTGGAGCCTGGCTCAACCCCTTCCAGGCGCCACGCCGTCGGTGCCAGGTCAGCACGCCCAATCACCGCTGTGAGGGCGTAGGAGCCCAGCGTTGCATAGGTCCCGTCTGCAAAAGGCTCAAAGTTCCAAGCAAGGTCAGATTCGAATTTTGAGATCTGCTGTCTCTGCCTGCTATTCGGGCTTCCAGCCATTGTGGCACTTGACCATCGGATGCCCTTGGTACAAGCAGAAGAGCAGGAGAACACAAACTGACAAACGAGCCGAAACACATGCAAGCTGCAGTTTGTGCTTTTGTAGAGACCCGACTCTCGATGCACAATTTCAGACCGCCTTTAGACAGCCTGTTCTGAAACCCATCCGGCTTGCTGTGGCATTGTTCTTTCCTAAATCCATAGTCTACCTCCGGCTTCAGCCGCATCCGTTACACTCCATTGTTCATTCTGAAATCCTTGTCGTGGCCATCCCTCCCCGCAAAATCAGGTTTTTGCGTCTCGCTCGAGATGCCCGACCTGGTCAACGCGTCCTCACTGCAGCAGAGACTCCATGCGGAGGTGACATTCCGGTCGAGCGCGTAGCCACATGCATACTCGTTGCTTGAGGCCCTGCGGTTCAGAAAGATGGTTGCAACAATGCCGCACAAACTCTCAAGCTTCAGAGCTTTCATTGCTGCTGTATGGGCTCCTGCACGTGAACCCTGCATCGATGCTGAAAGCATAGCATGCACAGCACGCTTCAAAGAAGACAATGCAGCGGAACGGGAACGCCATTGCACAGGACTGCGCTTCCTTCTACATCTTGACTGACACAGGTATAGCTGGAGTCTGGCTGCGTGTGCTCGAGAAACTCCATTTGCAGCAGTGCTTGTCTGCCCGTGTGTCCGCCACTGCTCTTCCTTCCACATCTACGTGTCTTACTTGTGACTAATTACATGCCACAACTGCTATACTTGCTGTTAATGTCAACCTGGCTTCTGTCATCGCTGCACCCGCTTTCACATGTTCGAGCTACAGCAAGGATGAACCTTGGACAGCAGCAGGCCCAAAGCCACGCATGATGAGGCCTTGTGAAGTTGGCGAACGACATAATACTATAGATCATTCACTCGCACGATCGCTTTTCGAGATTTGGAATCCATCATGCCGGCTCGATATGGCTCGACGAGCACTCTTGCGAGCTTCTGGAGGCATTAGCAAACCTGGCAGTGAGACTGTGCTCACGCAAGCTTCGTACATGTGCACCAATCATGTATCGCTGAGGCTCTCGTTCGCATCATGGACTTTCTGCGTCCGACTCGCTATCAGCAGTCTCCTCGAAACCAGCATGGCCGTTGGAAAGCATTGAGTACACTTGAAGCACTTGCTTCTTCAATACATGCCTTGGCGAAATTTTGCGCTTCCCCACCGATCCAAAGATCTTTTTCCTCAGCCTCGCAGACGAAAATGAGCTTCTTGCCACCATCGGTGCAAAATGCTCCTTTCTGAATCGTTCTGTGGAAACTGAGGCTAGGGCTCCTTCGATGAGCGTGGCAATCAAGGACTCGGCGGCCGGGACTGCCTGTCGCGTACGCTCAGGCAGAGAGAGCCGTGGCAATCCGAAAAACGGCGGCAGCCTTCATGGACTCCCCGTTGAACACCTCGATGCACCACAGGCGCAAATTTTCAACGGTTCGGCACTTCCCGACTGTCACATTCGCCGATTCATGACATGGTTCAGCACAGCTCATGCATTCAAGGTTCGTCTGCATTTCCGGCGCTGTAGCTGATCATGCAACAAAAACAGGGTTAGTCTGCAAGTTGGGCTTCGAGAAGCCCGTGCTTCGACTCTACTGCGCTACACTCATGCAATGCTGAGGCAGACTCCCGCGGTCTCAAAAAGCCGGATGCGAAGACCTGAACGGCAGGGATCCTCAAAACCTGGTTGAAGGCAACAGCAGTAGGCTCCGGTTTTGGACAAAACTGGTCATCTATCAGCCACGTGTCCAGCAGCACTACTACTAGGGACCCCTCTCGAAGCCACAACTTCTCGGCCTACCAGGATGTAACAACAGCGAGGCACTATACACAGCATGTCCAGCTTTCTCGCTGCTTCCACCTGCATTTGTAGTCTTGCTTGGATCTGCTCCACTAGTGCCGAATGTCAGAGCGATGCTTGAGGGCTTCCCGACTGCTACTCGGTTGCGAGTCTGGAACCTGCTATTTTTGGCTACTAGCATCGATGCAACACAACACGCGGCAACGACCGTCTGGCCTAAACCCCCCGAACCCAGACATACAAGCCGACATCTCGTGCAAGCTCTTCTCGGTCTCGGAAGTACGGCACGAAATCGAGTCTGACCCCTCTCGCAAACTTCCCCACTTTCGTATCTCATGACCGGCCTTTGCAGCAGTACTGGGCGTCAGCATGACCTGAGCTTCCCCTTCACTGTCACATCCTGAGATGTGAGTTTCTCACTAGACAAAAAGGTTGGGCCTGCGAACAGTGCTCGTGGTCATCCCGGTGCGTCGTCAAACCCGCCCCGGAACAAACCTTAAAGGAAACAGGAACCGGACGCCGGGCGACTTGGGGGATGCCTCGAATCATGTGTACTGATACCACAAACCTTGGCCTCATGTTAAAACGGAGGCAATAGAAGATGCAAATCCAAGCGCACATCCCGGTATTCGCGAAGGTGAGGCTCGGGGACATATCCTCTGATGGTAGGAGCTACATTCGACGGCGCACGTGTCAAGTTCATGTGGACCTACAGTTGGGCACGCCCTGACCCATCAGCCTTTGGTGACAAACTCACGCACTATCACGTCTCCACTAGGGCAGAAATCCGAGGTCGAGATGTGAACCACCAAGCTTAATTTACGTGATTCCAGGCCCCTCGCTGCGTGAGAGCATTATACAAAGGCATGAAGACTGTGCACAGCCGTCGTACCTAAGAAAAGTGTCTGAGCCGGTTGCCGGCGCAGATGCAGTGGCCTGGCAAATGCGAGGCGAGAGAAGCTATTGCGTGCCACGGCAGTGTCATGCTTATGCGCTGTGAGTCCCTGACCGAGCTGCCTGCAGCCTTGCCACCCTGAAGTCTGCATGCAGATCTGCACAGAGCATTCCCGAAGCGCCCTTCCTGGTGTCGTCATGCTGTCTAAGAAGCGGGCCCAACGATCTTGCCTTCAAGCTCTTTATAACAGTCTCAACGTTCGCAAACTTTCGCTGTAATTCAAAGAAGTGAACATGGGAAGCTTGGTCCGACACGCCACATTACACATAGTGTGAAGGAATGAACTGATGTAGAGCGCAACATACGCCTGCCACGCCAATGCAAGAACGGGGCAGTGCAGGACAGTGTCTAAATCTGAAACCGAGGCAGCTGGACAACTTCTTCGGGAAGCTTCTCATGAAAGATCTCAATCTTGGTGCAGCTCTTGATGGTTCAATGATGTTCAATGTGTGTGTGTGACAGGTGCATGTTGGAGCATGAGCAAGCAGTGCTAGCTTGCCTGCCTTGACCACACGTGAATTGTGGCTGTCACTGGTCCTCCCTACGACTGCTCATCTAACTTACGAAAGCGGAACTCTGCCCCAAACCTAAACAGCCATGTTCTCAACTCTTCCTTTAGGCTCAAGAAGGCATCATTTCAGGTCTGAAGCATCCCCAAACTGCTGGGTGCCAGGCTAAGTACTCCCGTTGCCTCTGGATGTTGCCAGGCCTTGAAGATTTGCAAAGTGAAGTCACAGGCTCTCGTCTGTCGGTCTGGGGATGCTGCTGAATCTCCCTGCTTTGCAGGAGATTCATAGCCTCGCGCTGACACGCTGCAGCTGCTAACGGACAAGAGCTTCCGAGCTGGCCTCGAAGGACAGGAGTGGAGAAGGCAAGCAATCCAACCAGACCTTGAGGCAACACCTGCCGGCGACGGTTGCCGACTCGGCTCTATCCGACCCTCCCACTCTCACTCTCGTCAGTCAGCGGCCCCCTCTGCGTGAGGAGGTCATCTTTCGCACTGCAATTGTGGCGATTAGATGCGATTAGGTGATGCCCCTGAACGCATCTTCTACGAGCCCAAAAGGCCGTGCACCCTCCCCAATCTCGCGCCCCTCTATACTCCAGGAACGGAAAATTCTTCGGAGGAGAGGCAATCGAGTTAGAGGTGCACCGCCTTTACTGCCTTCACTGGGGCTTCGTGTGGAAGCTCACACGAGGCCTTTATGGTCCAAGAACGGACCTTGTGAAGTTGTGTTGGAAGCCCCAAGCATCCGCAGAATAGTGGCAAAAGCCAGGGACAACATCACAGAATTCGGAGGGGCTCTGGGTCAAAGAACGAACCTGCCTGCCTTTGTCGCAAAGATGCTTGATTTCTTCGTCCCCTCTCTCTCTCTGACTCTGTCTGGGGCTTCGGGCGCTTTCTCCTTTCTCTCGCTCTCTCCCCTCTCTCCCTCCTGTCGTTGACAGGGAATTGAAAATCGGTTCCACATGTGCCGAGACATCTGCTGGTCAACTCAGAACCTCTCCTCGCTCAATGCTCCTTCATAACTTCGGGACTGCATCACAGTTCCTCCAAAGCTTTTGGCCCCAAGTAATTGATTAATCAGGTGATTGCCTCACCTCTCGATATTCTGACTCCAGATTAAGCTTGAGCCTCCTGAGCATCCTGAAGACGCTCCCTGCCGTCCAAGTGCTTCAGTGAAAGACCGGCACGAAAACAACTTTTACATCGCGTTTCGTCGGGGTACTGAGACCCCTGGTGTGTCGGAGGCTTCAACAGGTTTGCGCTTCCATGCTCTGCTACGCTTGTGCAAGTTCCCTCCAACTGCCGGTCGCTCGCTCTCTGTCTCTTTCTTTCTTGCGGCAGGGTTATGGTGTAGGGGTAGTCCCCCCCCAACACCGCACGCGTTAGCGCCCTCGACTGTTGTGGGGCGAGTCCACCAAGGCTCGGACTTCAATTGAAGTCTTTCTCTCTTTTTCTTTGGCCAGGGTTGTGGGGGGAGTTGCCTCTCTTTCTCGCTCGCGCCCTACCAGACAAGGAAAAGCCGGATACCCCCTCCCCACATGCAAACACGCACCGCTTTGGCTCAGCTGTACTGGCCAGCTACACGTTTTTCTCAGGTAGAGCCACCCAAGCAAACAAACGGCAAAGGTCCCGACGAATCGTAAGCAGTGGCTCACCCGACGACAGGCGGGGGCTTTGGAGTAGTGATCTCACGTGGTATTGAAAGGAACGAGCGTGAATTATGGGCCTCTAGGCCCCTGCTGCATTCAGCACCATACGTGTCACCGGAAGGATTTACATCGGCGGTGCGTTGAAAAGAGCCCAGGATTGACGGCCAAGGTCGGGCCGTGTTTACATGGGGATTTTACCTGGTGTGCGACGAGTCACAGGCATCGAGCCCGTTGGGCGGGGAGCCTCGTGACAGTCGTGGTTTTCGGAGCATCACGCGCTGGCCTAATGCCCAACCCACCCCGGCGCGACCCGACCGTGGATGCTTTTTCGTAAACTCTGCCTTCTAAATCACGAAGAACTCTCTCCTCCTGGCTGGCGGCTGTGTGAAACCGCACTGATGTTCTTGCCAGGTCTCGGTGGGTTTGGATCGCTGGCGATGAGCCCGATGCTGTGTGCCTCCCCTCACGTTTTCACACACCGTTGGGGGGAGTCGTGGCTGGTGGTAGTGCCAGCACACGCCAGCACTGCACTGCCTGAATCTGTCCGGGGTCCGGGCCAGAGAAGAGCAGGGTCCAAGTCACGCGGCAATGGATTCCCATAGTCGATAGTATTCAACTGAGTTCTGCTTGAACAAATGCTGCGTAGACCGTGCAAATAGCTGAGCTTCGTGCCAGAGGAAACACGGCATCAGGATCCACTTCTTAGGTTTGTCAGCCACGGCAAACTTCGTTCAGCAAAATCTGACCCCATACCCTGCACCGTTGCCGAGGCTGCCGCCGAAAAGCTTTCCAAATTCCTCGTCGGCGGCCTCTCTCTCGAGGGCCTCTTGCAATCACACAACGCAACCCAGGCTGTGCTCCGACGGCTTCTGTGCCTCACATAGGAATATTACGGCTGGTGGCAGCTTTGGATACCAGCCTTGCTTGAACGTCCCAACAGGGAAAAAAACATCATCTCTGCAGCAAAACCCCGTAGTAAGCTTGGGACGTCCGGTGGTCTTGTCCGTGAAATCAACACCGAAGGTGTTGCAAATAGCCCTGGCTTGCGTGGCTTGGACTCGCTGAAGCCTCACCTCTCGATGCCTCTTGCAAAACGCAAAACTGGAGGCACAACCGTCGCAAGCCCAGTGTCCCAGAAAGCGCACTTTTGTCTGTCGTCTCAGGCTGACGTCGCTTTGAAGCGTTTGGCCTGTCAGGTTGAAGCCAACAGAAACAGAAAGAACGATAGGGAGGGAGGGAGAGAGAGAGAGAGAGACAGCGCGCAAGCAAGTGCCCTTGAAGTGCGTGGCTTCACGCATGATGTGGTTGTGTAGGACTGCCAGATAATTCCACATGTTTGTTGAGCCTTCTTCATCTGCTTGACGGTTTCCATGTCCTTCCTATTTCGTTTGCGATGGTCGATCAGCTCGTCACGACACTTCTCCCGAAGCTGGAAGCGATAGAAATCCGGCATCTCTTTCGATTTCTTTGACTTCATCTTCTTCCCCGCAGGCACAACCGTGTGTTCAGTGCTTTCACCGAATGCACCCGTTTTCAGAGATGGCCGGCGGGCCCCTCGGATGGTCAGACCGTCCGGAGTTCGGGTAATGCCGGAAACAACCTTGGTGAAGCCATCATCGTCCACCTGCGTCTCTTTTGCAAGGCGCTTCTTCTCCTCTTGGCGCTCGTCGTACTGCGCCATCCAGTCGTCAATCTCTTGTCTGAGACGCACAGGATCCTCGCATTGCAGGCGCATACATGCAAGGATCAAGAAACTCCATCCCAAAAAACTTGAGCCATGAGCCCAGGTTCGGGATACAGAGCCTTCCTGGATCGAAGTCGCTCTTTGAGTATTGATGGAGGTGGCGGCAAAACAGTGTGTGCCGAGACAAGCCCCGTGGCAGCATCCAGGGCCTTCCGCAAAGTTTGCACCTCGGAATGAAAAAAGCACGTTCGACGGCGAAGCTTTGAGCTGCTAGACTCACTTTGCCCGCAACATCCGTGCCCACACGATACGAAATACACCATGGATGCACAAATGATCTTTCAACAGCTCGCCTCCTTGAAGACCACACGTGCAAAGACAACATGCAGGCGCACATGGTCCGCCCGCTGCTCGGCCTGGACGTGCAGCACGAGATTCAACTCGCTGAGATTCGGGGACTATACATTCGCAGCAGAATCTATGGAGTGGAGCTGCGCGGGTCTTGCCTTCGGCGCACGTTTCTCCACACACTTCAGCTCAACCTTCCTGTTGGTGGCAGGGGTAAGCTGTATGCCTGTATGCTACTGCTGCGTTCACGCTGTGCCAAGTGGCTCCACTGACCCAAAGGAGGAGAAGCACTGCCGAATCTGCGACTCTGTTGTGAAAGCATCCAAATGCGTAGCAAAGAGTGTCCTGGGAGCGCTCTCCTGGCATGGCAGCACAGCGATTCACACTAGTTTGACCACATGAGAGTAGTCCTTTTCTGCAGGATCTCTTGCATCGTGCTTCTTGACCAGGAGGGTCCTGCAAAGCGCTCGCACGCCAGGAACATCCCAACGAACTTGTAAGGACCTTTAACGACATGTTCTAAGGTCAATCAAGGCTTTCCAACTCCAACCAAACTAACTGGATCAGGTGCAACACTACGGTCCTTGTAATCGGCGAGCCTGGCGAAATTGGCACCCGAAGGAGCTTGTATCCACGAACAAGCTCTGAGCTGGGAGATGTCGAAGCATCAGCGCTCTTCCGGACCATGGCCGCAAAGACTTACAAGGGTTTTGGGGGGCCTCGAATTTGGATGAATTTGGCACGAAAAGGAAACCGGAGTCCTTCCAGAGCATGGCTTATGAGGGTCTTTTCGACAGCATTTTCTGTCTCTGCATGTCTCTGCTTGCACTCACTGCAAGGTGTGCAGTCTCTTACTGCCGCTACTGCCACTCACTCATTTGAAGTGTGCGGAAGCTTCTGAGATGACACGGCTGCTGAAGTGCACAATCCCGCACGAAGCTGGTGACAACAGGGTAAGGCGGTAGAGACGATGTGACATGAAGAGAAGAGTGAAGAAACGCCCACCATTTCCCACGATTTCCCACGTCTAAGCGCCTGATCGGGACGCCGAAGTTGACGGGCGGGTCATCACCGTTGCGCAGAGCATCTTGCCGCTGGATGACCTTTTGAAGGCGACCCGTTAAGTGCCTTTCTCTGTCTGGATCCGACGGTGCCAAGGTTCGAAGGCCGGACGCCGTAAGCACACGTCACAGCCAACCCAAAGGACACAGAAGTCTCTAATCACATTGGGAGATGATTCAGGCCATGTGCAAGCTGAAGACTTGATTCGGTCTTACGAACACACAACGGCCAAGCCATGCTCCGAAGACATGCAATGATACTAATCCTTCACGGTGGTGCAATTCAAAGCCAGCCATCGATCCGACAACAGCATGCATTTGCCTGAGGGAAGCGTCGCCGAAGTTCTTCTTGAGAAGACTCATCGTTTGGATGCAAGTCCTGTTACAAATGCAACCTGTAACCTTGCATGATCCAAGCAAAACGACATGTGAGATCTCTCACTCTCATGGTAACCCATCAGCAACTATACTGCCACCGAGCTTGTGGGAATCAACTTGGGTAGGTTGCACAACTGCCATACCGGTGCAGACCTTCGCTGCACTTGCTCTACCCGTGCTTACACAGCGTGTGTCGCCCTTGCATAAACTCCTAGACCGTGAAGCTGGCCCGAGGCCATCCTCGCAAATCGTCTCGATGCTGTTGACGAATTGGATCTTATCCCAGAACTGCGGTGTCAGCCACGCCTTGTGCACAGTCCGAAGAATCCACAGCAGCCATACGGACTCGGAGGCGCGCGTAAAACGACCACATCGTCACGTGCGTCCTGCAGGCAAGAACGCCAGTTTTCGATCGCGGTTTGTGGAAGGGGCTCAAACTCAGCCAGCTTGGCGAGCTTGTGGCGTGCAATACGTAAAAGCCTGGGACCCCAGCGCCACAATGCACCACAACGACAACAACAAATGACGGCACTGCAACATAAATCTACCAAGAAACGCTTCAAGTTCTTGGTGTACTTTCTGGGCCTCAGATAGCAACACGCAGCAGAAGAAGCGGCCTCAGCATATCTAAAAACGACGGAGCAGGATCACTATTGCAGGTGGTAGTATGAGGGGCCGACAGGATCTCAAAGGCTATCTGCAAGCGCTCCGCTAGCAGCGGTGCAGACCAATCCTGAAAGCTTTTGGATTTTCATGCTGGCCGTCGCCTACTCCGCCGACTCGCGACAGAGCGCCACTTAGGTCGGCACCATGCCCAGGCAGCAATACACAAAGACATACTTCTTCTGCATCGCCATTTCATCCATGTGCCTGAATTTCTGCATGTCAGCAAACGGAACATACAGCATGAGCAAGAAGAAATCTGAGAATTTGGCAACAGAAGGAAGTGGAAAGCACGGTCGAGTTCATCGGCATCGTTAAGAATCGGCCTGCAGTGCGACAGATGATCAAGCCGCAAAGTTGCGGCAGGCCAGTTCTGAGCTGTCAGGCTGTAAAAACCCTGGAGTGAAGAGAACGATTCTTTGGCCCTCCTGAGCTGTGGCAGCGTGCAACCCTCCAGGTCCGACCCCTATTGAGATGGGGGCAGCAGTTGCTCCGCAGTCAACAAGAAGTTGCGCGTCCCACCTCAAGGCTCAAGGATGCTCAAGGACCAGAACTGCCAACGGCAACGAGAAAATCCACCCATGGCTTGAGGCTGCCGCTCTTCGGGAAAGCTACCTGTCACAACAGATATATCACATACTCAATCACTTCCGTGGCACTGAGGCATCGTCATCTGCAAAATCGTCATGCGTATCCTCCTGGGCCCGATATCCACCATCACCAGCAACAGCATCAGCAACACGATCAGCGACATCAACTCAGAGTCAACGGCTGCGGCAGGACCAAGATCAACATCATCATCTTAAGGTGTTTCCTGTGCTGTCGCCACCACTTAGCCCATCAGACCGCTGAGCTACGTCCAACACACAAACTGACGGCCCCGACATGTGCAGGGATGTTAAGTAGATTTACGACTGCCAAGAAGGTGCTTCGTTGCGACCGAGGCGCGGTTGTCGGAGCCAAGGAGAACCGGTGTGGCGATGGCTTCTAGTACACTACAGAAGCCAATGTGCCTATTGTCTATCCAGTGTCAAGCTGACTCGGCAACAGTTAATTTGCTACGTCAACTGGGCACTTCGTCAACTGTCAGACATGCTGCGTGGTTGCTGCCTGGAGTTCGTGTCGCCCCACATTTTCGCGCTGGTCAAGTCGTGCTTTCGTTCTATACGCATGCATATATATATATATATATATAAGCTAAGCTTGGCTTTGGTTTTAGAAAACGCCGCAATGAAGAGCGCAGCCCCGGGCCTCGAGCAGCTCCAAATCCGATGCAGCTCTTGGCCTCTTCGATGATTCGACGGTAGGGCTCGGAGACCTCCTTCCAAGGCTGGAATGCGCGGTTCGCAGCGGTGCGGTGCCGAGATCCCAGCAACGTCTTCCCTGGCCGCAAAAAACGTATGAAAATCTATGAAGTATGTGGCGCATATGACAAACATCGACAAACTACGGTTGAGTACGTGTGCAAGCGCAGTGGCTCCCGCTCAAAGCAAAACAAGACGGCAAGACTGCCCAGCATCCCATCTGACTTGCTCCAAGTCAGCCTACCCAACGCATGCAGGCCAAGACATGCCGTTCGCGCCGGATGGCGTGCTTGCCTCCGAAATAATACTAGTCCTGCAAGGCGGTGAAGGTAAACGCAATAAGCGCATTGAACAAGCAGTTTGCGCTGGCAAGCAATCATGAACCCCAACCACACAACTACGCATGCACATCTTGCTTGCTCTGCCTTCGTCTGCGTCGCATACCGCAAAGTATGTCTTCCACAGTCACAACGCAAGGGGACCGCACGCAGAGTTCAGCATCTTCTCTGCGGCTGCGAACAGATGGTATAGATGGTGTAGACACCACGGGTATGGGACAAGGTTGGCCAATCCGCAGCAGGGCCCCCAGGCTGCAGGCTCTCGGAACTGTCGGGGTCTCAAGCTAGGACACTGAAAAAGGGCACGCCAAAAGATGGAAGCAATTCAATGCAGCTAGCGCGGCTTCCGTGTTTGCGGCACCTGAACTACGGCTTGAATAAGTACTTTTAAATCTTGTGACATTGGGAAGTTTCTTCCAAGAGGGTTTTTTCAGCTGCGGGACTGCAGGATGCGATATCAAAATGAATCACTGCTAACTGAAAACTGACCAAAGAATTCAAAGACATCGGAAACCGTCAGTACCTGTTCAGAAAACCTGGGCAAGAATGCTGTAGCCTCCAGTCCAGGCAATGTGACCATGTGGTTCTTTGGGCTGTTTTCCTGCACCGGATCCTGTTTTCCTTGTGGTAAGCTGGAGCCGAACACAGTCAAGTCCAGACAGGAAACAGGCAGCGAAAAAATCGGGGCGGCATTTCCGTCCCAAGAGCATCCGTGAGTAGGAACAAGTCCAAACAGGCAAGCCAAGCGATATTGGATGTTTGATTGTTCAGGTTTCTAGCTTTGCACATATGCCAACGCTTATGGGCTTTCCAAGACATAGTCTTGTGCCTTATTTTGGCATGTGCGTGGGAATTGTCGGCAAACTGTAAGCTGGTTTCTGGGCCGGGCGGACTGCACCGAACCTGGATTGAAGCTACACTTCTGTGCATCTGACCCCTGGACTAGCTTGCCTAGGCACTTACACCACTGGTTCCTGACAGCTGAGGGCTAAACATGAGCGGCATTAGTTCTTTTTCATTCGAAAGACTGCAGAACGCCTCAAGAAAATACATGACTACAGTACAACATCTTCAAAGCACCGACGCAACAAGGTAACATCAATTGCCTAGGGGCCCCGGTCATGGCCAGGCACGAGTGGCAAGCAGGTTGGATCAAGAGGAAGGTGCCGGGGGCCAGGGGTAGTTGCAACTGCGCACGATGGCGTGGAGAAAACAAAGATTTTGCCGAAGTCATTTTAAGTTTCCGAATGGCAAGAGGAATTTCTCTGCAAGCTTTGCAGGCAGTGAACTGCAGGCTCGCGCAATGCCCACCATGTTTGCAAAGCTCGTAACATCAAGCAGCCGGCTAACATTACCACCTGGCTGAAGTCAGGTCCTCCTCTCCAATCGGATACTTTGGCGGACCTGGGCAGCAAGATGAAAGAACAGACAGGGGTTGCGTGCATGTGAGGAGTGGCAGTCCAGGTGTACAGATGTGGCATCCGAGTTCGAAGCTCGGCTCTTTTCTTGGCTCGGACGCTCAGGGCCTCTGTTTCTAAGAGGTTTGGGTCGCAAACCTCGGTTCAAACTTTATGGACGCTGAAGCTGCGCGAGCGGGCTTCTGTTCTGAGCACCAAGCTCCAGCAAAACCTGAATGAGGCACTGCTTCGCTGTTGAGAACCGTGAAAGCATGTGCCAGCTCTGGCCAATTGTCAACACTCTAAAATTCGACGTCGTAGTCCTGTCTGATGAGCAGCTCGGAAGTTTGCTGTTGTGGAACATGCATTTCGAGTGAGAGTGGAGCCCCTGTGAAAAGTGGAAGGCACAGGGCATCCAAGAGCTGCACATGGATGACCAACGAGTTCTGTGAGCTGCGAAACGCCAACCATCGGAGGCGGCAGCGGAATGTATTTGAGCTGAGATAGCAAGTACATCGGTGAGTACACGACGCTTCATGACACCTGCATGTCTTTACAGGTCTTCTGACCGGTGGCTAACGACTGCCAAGACCTGCCTTGCCTGTGCCAATGTTTCTGTGCACATGGGACGCCATGCACAGTTCCTGAAATCGAATCGAGCCATGCGCCGTTATCAAGCCCCTCCTAGATCAGGCTGCAGCAATGTAGCAATGCAGTCGATGCTGACACTCGAAGCACGAGCGAATCGGTTGATCAGATGCGCTCCGATTTTGCATCTGCTAGCATCTGCCAACTTTCCTGGAGTCTTTTGAGAGGCGCGTGCCAGTCGGCATGCCACCTATTGCAGGTTTTCGAGCCAAAGCAAGAAGGACTGTTGCTCATAATTGACCGATTGAAACTGAAGCCAAGCCGCCTGCGGTTCGCCTAAGGTGTACTGCGAAATGCTTACTCCCAGGCGAACTTTCCATTCTCCTCTCAAGAACACCGGATGAGCTTCATGAACTTCAACCCTTGGAATGAATGAACGGTACAGGCTCAGCAGCGTCTTTTTCATGCTCACGGCAACTTGGAATAGATCGGCTCAGAAAAATCATCTGACCTCCCATAAGCGGTTGGATGAACAACGAATTCGGTTGGCACGGAAAAGGCCGTCTCAGTCGACCACGTAATCTTCCCCTTCTCAACAATCACAAGTTTAAAGTCTTGCTTAAAGATGTCGCCTGTGTGATTCAGGGTTGTGGTTTGCAATCGGTGCACGGCTCCCCCAATTTTTCACGGCTTCTCGCTGCTGTTGGAAGGGCTACTGGAGCTGCGAATGGTGGTGCTTGCATCTGTGCCTGTGCCCCCTTTCTTCGTTCGATTCTCGCCCTCCACGGTAGGTGCTTTCACACGCTCGGCTCACGTGTGCAGTTCCAGATCATAAGCAACACCAGATCCTAGAGGTTCTGCGGAAACAGCAGGCAGCAGCCTAAGCGTGGAAGGCTGCAAGGGGCCGCCGTGATAGCAGATAGCAGACGGTTCGATTTTGGGGTGGCCGTCAAAGCGCAGGCTCGTCAGCAAGATCATGCTTGACATGTGGCATGCTGCCTCTTCTGCAAGATGCTGACAGAGTTCTGAAACTTCTTGTGGGGCCTGGATGCAAAGCAACATAGATGAGCACGCAGCAGCATCCAAGTCGGCACGAGCTGTTCTGTGCCTCTTCAAATTCCCACGACTCGGCAATTTCATTGCAGCAAGGATACTCCAGCAGACTCAGCAAAGCACCCGGTGTGCCCTGCGACGTCTTGGCTACCTGAGAAAGTGTGTTTCAGGTGCTACACCACGCTGTCGAGGACAAGCATCATGATGGGCAATCAGAACAGCGCCGCATCGATCCATTCCCGCACTGCGCTGTTCGTCAAAGTGCTGTGGAGCCTAGGATGACTCTCCAACGAGAGGATGCTGAGACATTTTCGCTCTCCTCCTGCTCCGTCGCTCTCTGCAGGATTTCCTTTTGGCTTTCGCTCCTTTCCTGTCCGTACGCCGGCGGTCCGACCTGACCTCCGGACTGTGGACTCTAGATTACCCTGGATGGCATGGTGTACGAGTTGCATGGCCTCACAACGCGGAAACAAGCGGAAACGTTTTGGCTTTCTTGGCTTTGCTGTCCTCCCGCTTGCTTTCAATATTCTTCTCGACACTAGACTCACGAGACTCAGAGAAACAACGAAAACTGTCCTGTCACACGATCGTCGCGCAAAGCTTGCAGCAGGTAAGAAGCCCGATGTGTCTCGTGCGTTCTGCTCCCCCACCCTGCTGCCCTTTCTGTGCGATTTACTCGCTGTCGGAGGGAAAAACTCCGCCGCATACCAGCGAAGTTTGCAGAGATTACACATGCGATGTTGGGCCAGGGGGTCACACCAAGTCTGGGTTCTGCGCAGAATATACTTCGAGTCATGGCATCACTTGCAGGACAAATAGTTTTTTGCATGAAAATGTTATCGTCGCATTCCTGGGATGTCTGTTCGGTGCATCTGAGGCAGGTGACAAAACGTAGCCTCCGGGAAGCACTTGAGGCCAAAGAAGTGCCAGAAAACTTTCGATGCCATCCTGCACAGGTCTGAAGCGGACAAGCAAAATCTCTTGAGCTCTGATGCGAGGCGTATGCGCCTTCACACTTCCATTCACCGGCGGTGCAAAGTCTAGCAGGCCATCCTGCAGCTTTACAAGGTCAAGTTCATACAAGACCTACATGACATGATCACTACCATCACCATTCACCCTTTTCGGCGATCCAGCCAGATGAAGTCAAAGAGGAGGTGGTTCGATTCTTCCAGAAAAGCCCTTGCATCATCCAGATGGAGCCTTTCACATCATCTGGGCTCAGCGTACTGGTGTGCCATACAGCTTTAGGCTCTCCAGGTCTTGGCCCACAGAAACTTCCAAGCCTCAAGCGGCGCTGCAGCCCCAAACCTCATGGCAAACAAGCTACAAGCTTTCAACATAAAGGCAAGACGGCAATTCGGCCGTCGAGAAGCTTCCGCAGGACCGCGGGCTTGAATCACGACATCTTCTTTGCAGACTTTTCGATGCAAAGTTTGTGGCACTTCGGTACGCACTGGCTGTCAAAGCACGGCAAGCCGCTGACTCCTCAAATCTGAAATCACATTGCAAACTCGCGGAATCGAGCCGGAACGGTGGCTATCTAGCCATTTTGGGAGTTGTGCGCATAGCAAGCAGAGTTAAATGGAGAGGGGGGAGCGCGACACCTATAGACTCCTCGCTTGCAAGGCAAGATAATTCTGATGCGGAGCTCCTGACGACGTAAACCTTTCGGTTTCGTGCTGTGGGTGATGGTCGAGGCAAGAGCATCTTTACAAGATCACTCTGGTGTTTCTCCTTCTATGTTTGACCTGCGCAGGGATATTACCCCCGGACATCGACAAGATTACCATGACAACTACAGTAAAGAAAGATTTCGGTGTTCCCATGTCCGGCCGAACGTCTCCATGTCACGGGAATGGACCGGACCGGTTTCGTCTGAGACACCAAGACACCAAGAAACTTTCTGGCTGGCATGAACAAAGCCTCGATACAGTCACAAGATCCGAAATGTTGACTCAAACGGAAGGGCTGCGATGGCTGCAGGGACCCAAGTCGGTTGCGTGCATCCTTGCCCCACCACCACAATTCACCACAACCACACTGACATGCAGCGAAGCTGGTAGAGCCCGGTCGTGACTTGGGTGGCGGTAACACTTCGCGGCAGGAGCTTGCTTTCAGAAGTGAGAATTTCAGGACGAACCCACTCACACTTGCCTCATTCTGAAATTCTTCAACCATCTTCAATCATCCAGACCCAGCGAGCAACCTGTTCAAGTACACGTAAGCATGAGGGCCCGGCGCTGTGCGACGCGGAAAAGCTCCGGCGCTGTGCTGTGCCTGTGGGCGAAGTTGTCGACACAGTGCAAAACGCCACCTTGGTTGATGACTCGAGCTCTCCACGAGAAACCATCCAACAGTACCCTGCGTATTGACATAGAGCTTCAACCGAGCCGCCTTCCAAATCCGCAAGTTCTCCAGCCCCTCCTGCGGTGGGCCGGTGTACGCTCAGGGCTCAACACCGAGCAGAAATTCGATCCAAGTTGCCGACGAGCCAGCTTTCGGGGGCAGGCCCAGAAGTCTTTGGCGAAGTTCGCCAGGACTCCCAGAACTGCATCTCGCGCCAATTGTCCTCTCCGTCGAGTTCTTTCGAGGGATGAACGAGTACTGCCGAGGTTTCCTCCAAAGCCTGCAGCAAGAAGGCCGACGTGTAGCCTGCGCAGCCACTTAGGTGCTTTCGGGTCTTTCGGGTCTTTGACATGCCCATGCGCCAACAGACAATCCAGGCGACGGGCACATGGGAAAGCACAGCCAGGTGATGCCGAGGTGTAGCACCCACCACCCAACTAACAAGTGGAAGTCATTTCTCTGCAACATATCGAGTGTCCAAGCATGCACAAGAGGGGGAGAGAGGGCGACAGAGAGAGATAGAGAGAGAGAGAGACAGGAGACGAGTGAACGCAGATTGAGGTGAGAGCCAGCCACTCAACAAAAACATGACACGGCAAGGGCATCGTCGCACAGATATTCCGAAAGGAATGACAGTGTTCGAGTCCAGTCTGCCTGCTCCAATTTCCAGACAACTGCGCGGCTTGACGAAGCGTGCCAGACTGTGAAGAAGAGGCCCCATGTTCTCGCAGCCTGAAGGCGACCATGAATTGTGAAGCAGCGCTGGTTGAAATCCGTGCCGTGGCACTAAGGGCTGCGCCCATATGCATGGAGTACAGCGGCATCACAGCTTCTTGCCACTCAGCATTCCCGGTGCCTGAAAGTATCACTTCAGCCGCGGCATCCTCAGACTCATGCGCTTCTCGCATGCAAAAACTACATCACAAAAGTTGCGATGGGATTATCATGCAGCCGCAGTCTGTTAAAGGACAACATGCCGTCCAGCACAAGAGGATACGCCGAAAAGCAGTGAGAAAACGAAACCAGTGCACAACAGCTAGATGTGCCGAAAGACACGCAAAGAGCCGATCCCCGATCATGCTCGGTTGCCTAACCTGCATCGCATTAGTGAGACTCATTGATGTCTAACTGAGGAGACGAACCATCTGTGGCTATAAACGTGTTGGCAGGAGGCATTCTCGTTCATCTCAGCAGTCTCAGTTGTGCTTTCTGCATCCACCTGCCGAATTCGCCCAAGACAATCCCAAGGATGCCAAGGAGGCTCGGGGAAAGCCCAGAAACGGAGGTGAAGCCTGGCCTGAAAGCAGAGCTGCATCAAGCGTTCGTCAGATCCTCGAGGCATGCCAAGCGCCTCGACAAAGTCCTTCACAACCTGGCGGAGCAATGCGGAGCAGGTGCTCAACCACTCGGGTCTCATGGTCTCGGGCAATGCATGTGCACCTTCCAGCCATCGCAGCGCACATCCCCGATGGTCTTGTATCCCTCCTGCACAGCACTGCAAGTGTACCAGGTGTATCACTGGCCGCTGGACACCCACGAAGCCTCCTCGAAGGAGACGGCAAAGAAGCCCGCATCCAGGCCTCAGTGCACAGGCAAAATCGTAGATGCAAGATGTCTGCTATTCGCTCCGTTGTATTCCCCTTTGGAAACCTTCTGATACCTTCTGGTCATGGGACAAACTCTGCCCTGCAAGCGCCTGTACGGCTCCGTCCGACTGTCTAAAATTGTCTGAAGAGATGACACGCCGAACCATTCGAGAGGATAAGGCTCTGACATCGAAGCAGGCCGCGGATTGGAGTCGGAGAAGGAAGACGCATGGCACACAGTGTCTTACATTGCGTGTGACATCTTCCGCCTTTTTCATGACATCGCGCTGGTCCATGCTGGTCCCTTCTTGCTAACATGGAAAGGCCGACACATCAAGCTGCCTAAGGTTCCAGGCTTAGGCTTTGGTGCTGCATCGTACACAGGTCTGCAGCTGCGACCAAAAAGTAGCACTGTGCCATGCGGAGTCCTCATCTTTGAACTTTTTCTTGGGTCGCTTTGGCTTGACATCTTCGACATCATCCTGACAAACAGGCCCCTCAAACCGTTTGCCTCACCAGCTCACAGGACTCCTCTTCATCCTCGCCGAAATAATCCTTCTTGTCCTGGAGACAGTCTCATCTTGGTTGGCATGCTGGTAGCATGCATTCACCCGAAGTGGCTGCTAGAGAGAGAGAATTTCTGAAAGATGCCACGGAGTGTGCGGGCAAACCCTGCTGACACACTGCATGCCTCTGGTGTCATACACCTTTCGTGCATCCACCAGGCGCCAGCCCCAAGCGAGCCAAACTCAGACTTGGTGGTCTTGATCTTTCCGATCTTGTCCTGCACCGTACCATGGGAAAGCCTTTTTCAGGCCCTTGATCGCGGCTTTCCACAAAGGCACGATGTGCATGCGGATTGAAAACTCGGGCAAGTACATGCAACAAGACCTTCGGGTATCTGTTTATGGGACGTAAGAGGAAAAGGATCAGAATGCGCAGAAACGCTGAGACCGAGACCCTGTGCTTGTTCATGCACTTCCAGCAGATCGCCTTCCCCGGTCCATGGCCCAAACGTGCAAGCAGCCTTTACTTGCACGAAGAAGGGCATGCAGAGAGCCAACAAAAACGCAAGCATTACAAAAAGGGGTATGCGGTATGCGTGACAGTCTCAGTTTCCGTGAGGAGTGTGTCTTCACTCCGGTTTCGTTCGGCATAGCGTAGCGTGCCACTAGCAGAGGGGATGCTTCTGACAGGACCTGGTGGCAGGCTGACGTTTGACTGACAGAAGGCCAATCCGAAGAATCCCAAGACTCAGATCCAGCCTGTGGAATCTGTTGTGAGACATTAATCTTCCGACGCACAGCCGTCTGATGCGTTACCAGCTGGATTTCACCAGCACACACAACTTAAGTTATGTGGAGGATAGCAGCAGATTGTCAGGCCGAGTGTTATGCTTCGTACGGCATAAGAGCTCAATTTCCACTGCGCAGACGACGCACGCGAGTGCGCAGGAAAATCTAGACAGCGAACCTTCTTGCGATTCTGCGTCGTGGGAGCATGTTGACTGACACGGACTCTCCCAACGACCATTGTACCGTTGGTTTTGTTTTTTGTGCAGAGTGCTTCTTTCTGTGTTGAGGCGAGACCACTCGGCATCCCAACCCGAGCTCAACGGATTTCAAGCCTGCCTGCGATGCTAGATGACCACATCTGACGGCACTCTTGCAATGCTCTTCTTTGGGAAGGTGTGTGGTTGTGTGTGATTTCTCGAGCATACTTCGAGTCAGCTGCATTGATTCTGCACGTTGATACCGTCGCGGCAGGATTACGCCATTCTGGTGGAGGTGCTTGCCTCAAACTCAATTGAATACGGATCTTCACGGTATCGATTCTGTGTGCCTGTCGTCCGTCTGTCAGCAAAGTCACTGACTTTCAGGGCTGCCTGCTTGGAACACTGGGTCGTTTCTTCATATTATGCTCACACACTCCCATCTGATGCGTTCTAGTTCAGATCATTGAGTCGCAAGTGTTTGCGTTCAAAGTGGAAGAACGGACAAGATGCAGGCACAAGGGATGAGTTGAACAACATGTGCAGCACCAGTCGTGTAAGCTGGGGGACAACGCCGAGTTAAGTTTGCAGCATCACGGAGAAGCCGCGACATGGCACCCATGTTCAAAAGGCGAACCACGTAGCACCCTCATAGCTGTGTTGCACAGTGGAAAAGCCTCGAAGCAGCCAGCAAGCTCTCCCGAAGAGCGCTTGCGACCACAGTACACGCCGCCTTTCTCAACAACAGTCCTCGGCGCAGCGAAGGCATTGTCAACCTACTTCCAAGGTTTTCAGGGAGCCGGCTTGGAGCACAAAGAGCATGTAGCACCATCCTGAGACTCGCAACGGGCCAGAGCATGCCAGAGCCGCGAATGCCCCGCGCCGCTGGGCTGCGCACGGGGAGCCAGCCAATCCGCTCCTTTTCTTTCGGCTTCTCGGGTTTCTTCTCTGGGGGCTCTGGAGGCCTCGGGGGCTCCTGCTCCTTTGGCTTCTCTGGAGCCCTGACACGAGGTCGTGAGACCGTGACCACCGCCTCTGGCTCGGGCACTGGCACTGAGTTGCGGGCTTTTCGAGGCCTTGCAGAACTTTCCAAGCCTTCATCTTGTCCTGCTCGTGCTTTCATGCGCAGACAAATGCTTGCAAACTGGTGGAAAGTCCAAAACATGGCACTGCGAGAAGACCGGCTCCTCTGGAGGCGACTCCTGAAATCCAAGAACCCATGCAGCCGGGAACAGGCTGTCAGCGCTTTTCCCACCTGGCCACCTCGCTTGGGACTTCGGCTCCTGAGCGCTTTGCACGTGACCCAGCATGACTTGGACCCACCGCCCGATGACCCCGCTCAAGCGGTCTCCTGTTGTGTTCTCTCTCCTTGGCCGCTTTCGGCTCCGCTTTCGGCTGGGGCTCTGGAGCCGGAGCTGGAGCTGCCGCCTTCGGGGCCTCAAAGGTGATTGTCACAGCTTCAGTCACCACATGATGTCCAGTGCAGGAAGCGGGCCGAGAAGGCACGGCCCAAATTCAACGCGGCTTGCTGCAGCTCCGCCTGGTGACTACAGAATGAAGCACCAGCGGAACTACCTGTATCGGAGAGTGCCGAGCGAAGTGAAGATGAACAATTTCTCTAAAAGGGTAATGGCTGCAGCTGGGTCAATTTTTGTGTCATGGTAACTGCAATGGGAAAGCAAAAAGCTACGCTGCAGAATGAAGAGGCCTGCGACAGCAGGACTGGAGCAGCACGAGGTACCGGAGACAGCCCGGCCGCGGCCGCTGCTTGAACGGCCTGCTCAACATGGTGTAAACGTGGTGCTATAGAGAAACCCACGAAGCGTTTGCCTGCTCCGCCTTGAGAGCCTTCGGCATGGCACTTCAAAATCAACATTCAGCGCCTTCCAAAACTTGACTTGCTCGCTCTGACACCTCCTCGTCTGAGGAATCCTGCAGCAGCTCTTCTGTCGCAGAGACCTTTGCAACAAGATTACAAGCTTTGAAGACACTCTGTACGCTAAGCCCCCACTCAACAACAGACTTAAAGTCAGGTGCGCCTCAAACTTTCCATTGTCAGCTACCAGAACCTCTGTGACATTGGCTGCCGTGTTGTCCACTATAGACCTGCGGCGGCGATAAATGGAAACTGTGACGGCGAAGACATCTTGCACGGCTGTTGGCTAACGGCTGGGCTTCTCACTGTGCGAAGGCGTCTAGTCTAAGCTGATGCAATGGTGCCTTGCATCACGATCGCTATGGACTTGCTCATCTAGATGCTCTGCTTGTCGCAACAGCTAAGGGCCAGCGGGCTGATCACATATCGGGCAACACCTGACGGGAGTGCTGTTGATTTGCGTGCTTGCTTGGAAATACCCAAGGCGCTTGCCAGGCGTGTTTGGGCGGAATGCTCCGCATTGTGTGGATGTACGAGTTCAAATCGAAGCACTGCAGATGCTCACACCTGAACAGATTCATGTCGCAGAATTTTTTTGCACAAGCTGGGCATTCTTTCAGAAACTCGAGGGTCATGCCTTGAACCGCGCGCAGCTTGCTCAATTCGTAGGAGGCTAGCTGGCACGGTGTCAAGCCATCACATCTTTAGTCCCTCCCCTTTCTGGGACACTATCTGTGCCATGCACTCGCCACGTATCATTGCAGCAGTGATAGAAAGCCCGCACCCAAGAACTCGAAATCGCTCGAACTGGGCATCGCGCTGCAGCAGATCAACTTCAGAACGGGTGGCTCAACACAGCGCAGTGTGTCCTTCCATACGCCACTGTCGAACATAGGAGATAGGGCCATATAGGGCCGCCTCGCCTTCTTCGACACCCGATCAGGACGATGCTCGCTGACCCATCTGAGCACCGCGCGCACGCGGATGTGCGCAGATCTCAGGCGAACTTCCGGCTGCAAGCACCCCTGAGGCCAAACGCATGCGAACGCGCTCGAGATCAAGCTTCATTCGGTCCTGTGCAGCTGCGGAATCTGCTTCAAGCAATCATCAGGCCCAAGAGAAGACTGGGCTCCTCAAGTGGCGGCTGCTGCTGCACGACCTGCACAGACTTACCAAGCTTCCGTGAAGGTCTCAGGCTGAGTCACTCCGTACATCTACTCGAATAAGGCAGTTACAATCCACGGACGTGGATGCTGACAGCGGTTTCTACCCAGGTTTGCGTCTTTGCATCTCTCCGCAAGCCAATAATGGCCTGCTCGGCGACCTCCTCATCCCTGGCCACGCCCAGGCTCAGCACAAAGCCTCACTTGAGGCCGGCGAACTAGCACTTGTCAGTCGCGGACTGGCAACAAATATACAGAGTTTCACAGCGAAGTTTTGGAATTGCGAATGGTTCCCTAGGCTGACGTGGGCACTATTCGTAACGTCGTCGAGTTGGACTTACGGCGTGTGACGAGGATGAGAATGTGGGTCTATGCGACGTCCTACCTCCAAGCTTCGTACGTACGGGCATTCTCCAACGGATCCCAAAGATCCTTTGGTGGCGCTCAACATTGAGCGCGTGCCAATACTTCCAAACACCAAGAACACGGAAGGCAAGCCTTCATGAAGCAACTCATAGAGTGTAAATGAGTGTAAGGTAACGTTTACTCATTTGCGAAGGCTGCGAAATCATAGGCACTCTCTGGCTTGGAGCACTGGTGCTTCCGCTATCTGTGGCTTACAGCTTTCACAGGAATGCCGAGATCGAGTTCGTGAGACCTGGCAAGTTTTGTCAGAGAATATCATTGCTTAACAATGGCACTTGACGGTGGGAAGTGCTCGGATTACAAGCTCTTACAACTGAAGCGACAAGACTTCGTTGTCAAGGGCTCGATGGCTACATGTACGATGGTCGGTGCAAACGCTTTGCCAACAGACCGACAACCGAGCACCCTCGGAGTAAACATGCACGAAGAGACAGAGACAGAAACCTAAGACTCAGCTTCCCCCTGCAGGCCGCTGCCTATGGCCCAGATTTCGGTCTTCTTGGCCGTGATAGCAACATTCACCTGTTTGCCAGCAGTGCACTCAGTTCTCGAGGATAGAGTGCACCTACATCTATACCTTGAACATGTTGGCATGGATGCACAATACACGTGTCGGCTGCCTGCATTGGATGGTTGACCTGCAAACAATTCTGAGAGCGTCATGGCTAGTGTGCCTCTCTCATGCCGCCGATCCTCAATCTAGCTGTTGGGTGAGCCTCATTCGGACGCCGCGCAACGAAGTCTGTGAGGTTGAATGGTCCCGGGGCCTGGGAAAGAAAATTATGTCGCCACAGATCTCGTGCAGATGACAGCAACACCTCGAAATGCTCATCGTCCGGCTTCTTCACAAGAAGTCTGCGATCGCCGACGAAAATCGAGATTCCACTGGGCCTCCAGTGGGACAGCGAAGCGGTGCTGACATGCATCTTGGAAGGCAGAGCTGGCTAATCACGCGGATTGACTTCCTTGCCTGAAGGACGTGAGGTGCACAGGATCTGTTCACAGCAGCTGTTTGGATAAGCAGTTACTTGCAGGTCCCGGAAGTGACCGAAAGACACCGAAACGGGACACACACGCACACCGGCCATCCCGAGCCTTACCGAGATCTCAAGTCTTGGGAGGACCATTTTTGGTTACAAACACCCCTCTCATCTTTTCGTTTCTGTTCAAGGGATGGTGGAATGCCGCATAACGCAAGGATCCTCCTGGTCAGCCTCACCTCTGCATTACCACAATGCTGCAGGCAGACCTGTCTAGGATGGTTAAGCCTAGGAAGTCCGAACATGGCACCAATCCAGGAGTAGTGGGAAAAATGCAAGCAGACGTGGGCAAGACATGCAAAACATACAAGTCAGTACACTTGGCAACCACTGCCAAACAAAATAATGACAGCCTTCAATAACCAGTAATGGACAACAAGGGCAAAATTAAAAACTGAAACACCACAAGGACAAGCGGCATGTCGAACGACTGGACAAGCAATGCTATGTGCAAAAAACGGAGCAGGAACTAGCAAACACATTAACATCTGTTGGAACATGGCCCGTCGCTGGCGGTGGTTGTCCCCATTTCAACCATGTTAAGTTTTGTCACCTTAAAATGTTCGCTGTTTTGATCAGACCCCAACGGTAGCCCCAAACCTCCCCAACGACAGCACACAACCTGGCTCTTGTTGTAGAACTTTGTTCAAGTTCCATTATAGCCCAATTATAGGAACATACAGTAAAGGAATCAGCTTTCCTTATCATCGTAGTTAACTTGCTTGAGCAATCGCGCGCCTAGTGGAAGCTGAAAAGCTCTTATTGTACTTAACAGGGTGTTGTCAAGATTACTGGAGAGGGCGTGTAAAACATGCGTGGCCACCTCGAGCGCTTCAGAGCCAAACTGTAGCCGACGGATCCAGGCTGATTGGCTGGTTGTGGCTGTCAGATTTGCGGGCGGGAGTTGCCCCCGCTTCTACTAAGGACGGGGCCAGCTGTGCACCAGCTCGTAGCGCCACTCCGGTGCATCGACTCTTAAGCATCGCACCTGCTACAGGGTAATGTTGTGAGGCAACTGCTAAGTCTAAAGCAGCCAGTCACTCAAAGCCTCCAGTATATACTCAGGCAGTAGTCTGCCCGTCCTGCAGCAACATAGTGGCAAAAGTCGACTTCACTCTCCCGAACCTGCCCCCACCTGTATTCTAAGAAGCCCATGATCGGTAGCTTGATGATATTTGGAGCTCCAGCCTGAAGCAGAATTGCCCAGAGGTAAGTTCACTGGCAAGCGGACATTGCCTTCAAAGTGCTCCAGTGGAGGAGCTTCTTCGTGGGGAGCCATGGATTACAGCCTTTGAACCTCGCGAGAGACGGGGGACCGACTCTCGAGTCCTGCCCTTTGCCCTGGCCGCCCTGGCCTGCAGGGTACGCAAAGGCCGGAGGAGCTTGATGACGAGTCTGAGTTGTACAAGGGCATCTTGCAGCCTCGCGAATTCGGAACTCCGGGGCGGCCCTGCGGCCCTTGGCACTGACCAGATTACAGTGCCTTCACACTCGCTGCCAGGTGGCGGCGGCGCCTCGAAAGCGAATTGCGGTAAATTGCATTGTGTCCAGCATGTGGGGTCACAACCTCCGGTGGTGGTGGTGCAGTGTCTGGCTCCGGTGGAGGGGCCGGAATCTCATCTGGCGGCGCCGCTGGAGCCTCCCTGGCAACTGAAGCTCCGACCACGTGACACAATCGCGATCACGGCGGCTCAGTGACAGTCTCGCAATCCAAACCAAGCTTACGAAAGTCTTGGCAGAAGTGCTCGGGCGGAGGTGGATGCTCAGGCGGAGGTGGGTCTGCTGCGGCAGCCTCTGCCATGCGAGCATATGACATCGCACAAACATCTGTGTCTCCATGCTATACAATATACACATAGCATCACAGCTATGGAAAATGTGACAAAGCTCCCACTTTTGTGAATCACCTGTGCAATTTAGGCAGACAGTGGCATGTTGTTGCCGATAAGTGCTTCGCCGTTGCCTGCTCTTGAAACCATGCCAGGCTGTTGCTGGAAGTGGCAGGGCGTGGTTTGGCATTACTAAATTCTCGCAATACGGCATTGTACAAGCACGAACACAAGCGGTTTGCCTGGTTCGGAAGCCCTTCGGGACTTCACATGCAAAAGCGCTACTGATCCTGCCGATTGCACTTGGACGAGGATCTTGAATGCACAGACTAGAGCTGCACCTGTACAGGCGTTCAGTGACGGAGTGATACACTGTGCAGACAGCTAAGGCCGCATCTGACCACTTCCCAAGAGTGATCCTGCCACTGTACGTCGCAAAAAACCATTGCGTGCCTTCTGACCAGTAATGCACCGAAGCACAGAAAAGTCAGTGGTGCTGTACTCACACTTCTCACACTTGCCGCAGCTTGCGTGAGCCGCTGAAGCTCTCTCGGACCTCCCCCAAACCGTGCTGTGCACGCCCAAGCAGGACTGGATTTTCGGTTGCCCCAAGTTGGGAGCAACGACGACAGTGGCTGGAGCGCAGCTGAATAAACGAACTGAGTAGAAGGGTTGCAAGCACAAGAAAGTCAGCTGGCACATAGCGATCAGGTGAGGCCTGGGCCATGCCCAAGCTTCGTGACATAACAGCCGCCAGAGGCAAAATTCCCGCATCAAGGGATGCAGCAGTCACTGTGTCAGAGTGGCGAAGCACAGCCAGCCTCGACAGCGTCTCCACTGCTCCAAGCCCAAGTGCTGCAACGGCAACCACGCTGAAGTCAAGCTGAACAGCGGAAACAGCATGGAATGAGTTGGCGTCCCAATCGATCGACTTTAAGGGCAACTGGCCCAAGGTTAAAGGCAACACAAGCATAGATCCAAAGAACCCGCTAAAGCCACCTACAAAGAAGAGACCACCCCAAGAATTATCCACTCCCACTCGCCGCAACAGAAAGGCACCACCGGCACATCGCAAGGCTCTGCAAACCGTTGCAACAGCAGCCGCGGTGATGAGCAATGCATCGCCCGGATGTGAGCGGAAGGTGTCTTCCTGTCGCCCGTAACACTCGCAAAGCAGCCAAGAACAGGCCAAGCCCAGAGATATGGGCAACGAGGATAGCACAGGCGCCTCAGCGCAAAACAGAGCGCATCTGCTAGCTCGAAACGCTTACCTACTCAGTGCGGTCCAGCTTGCTTGGGAGTCTCCGCTCATGACCGCGTTGAGAGCAGCTGCTACTGGAATGTCAGCACAGCGCAGCAGAGCCAAGATCACGCTTTGCCTCGCGGTCAGATGCACAGGACACACAGAGCTTGACAAGAGGTGGTCAGGTATCAAGGGGTTGTCAGCTGAGTCAATTTTGTGGCCTGCTGCTCAAACCAGAGGGAACGAAGACATCAAGGGCGGCAGCACAAGCTTCGAGAATGCCCAACACCGCAGCTGCAGCGATAGCTCTCCCAGTGACCGCCACGGAGGGGAACCAGGCCTAGGCTAGCCGAAGCCCCAACTAAGGATCATAAAGGACTGCACAAGGATTAGATAACTTAGACAGCCTCTTGAAAAATGTCCAGTCCCAGAGACGCCATCCACATGCCGATGCCATAGGGCTCCCATCATGAGCACAGGCCATGCCATCCATGGAAATGTGACTGGAGGTATGGGCAAAGGTCCAATGGACAGAGTCCCTGTTGCGATGCATGCCTGACCCGTGACAGAACAGTAAACACAAACGACAAAATATGCAAAACTTCAATTGCATACCAACCCGACGCACCTGCAAAGCCCGCAGCGCCATGGCACAAGGGAACAACACGCAAGCAATTAAAGCAGTCGCAGGCGCTGGCCAAGGAAGCTGCTGCTCTTTCACGAACAGCTTGGCAGTCCTGTCAGCTTGGCGGCCCAGCGACTGCAAACAACAGCCATGCATGTTTTTGAAAGGCCTCCTGCTCTTCTGCACCATGGCCAACGGAGATCACGGGGGACAAGCACCCCAAGTTAAGTTTAGCTATTAGGCTTTGAGCAAACACATCTTGCAGAATGAGTGGCTCAAATCGCAAAGAAGCAGCCTTGGGACAAGTGCTGGGCCACCGGCCCCTCCGTCCTGTGCTTCACCCTCCTCCTCCAGCGCATCCCATAGCTCATCATCCGACGCCATGCAGGCCAACACTGGTAGGAGTTGTGTACTTGGTGTGCCTGGGTAGTGGGGTGGGCTAGCTGCTTGCAATCTTCGATGATGTTGCAGGTTATAGAGTATGGAGTCTTTCTGTGGTTCCAGTGTGTATGTGATTTTGCTCGCAAGAGTTTCTTGCGTGCAAACTACACTGCATCAAGCGAATCAGGACGTAACATCCGGTGGCCTATGGGCCTGCAGGTAGTATCAGCTATACAGATCATGGCTTCTTTCCATTCTAGGGATTTCAAGCTCAAAGCTGGGAGCAGCATTTAGCTGCGAGAGAACTGCAAACGAAGCCGAGCGACCTGGAGACGGATGATAATACAAATAAGCGACTCCCCATCGAGCCCTGAACACTAAATCTTTCGGTCGCACGGCTTGAACAGGTCGCTGAAGATATTATCCAACACCTCGGAACTGAAACTGATCATCATGTACTTGTACCGTGAATACATCGCGGGGGGTGCTGCAACTCGATGTACATGCAGATCCAAAGGCACAGCCGACAGTTGATTGAACAAGAAGCACTTAAGTGCTGAGCAAGCCTACTTCATCCTAAAGGTGGCAAACACTGACCTGCCAGTGGGCTGCTCGTGGCCGGAGGCAGACATTTCGAATTACGTTGGTGCAGTATACTGTAACATGTGAAGTGCGCTTCTGCCGTTATCCTTGGCGTTCATTTCTGGACCTGCCCTTGCTTCCCGCCGCCTAGTGTGTTGTTACATGCCTTCCAGCAATATGCATCATGCCTGAATCTTGTGTCCTCTTCTCCAAGATTTCCCGTGCTTGTTTTTCCGTCCTATCAGCTACCCTATAGGTCCCGAATAGTGAGGAATAATCGACGCATCCATGAAAAAACTCCCTTCCAGCTGCAGTCCGCGACATCTCAGGTGGACTGTACTGCACACCGGGCACGACGCCCTTTTTTCCTTCAGAACATCGCAAGTATCTCGCAAGCTCTACATGGAAAAAATCTTGACTTCATCGGCTGCTTGGACGGCCGGCCAATCACGGAGACCTCGACCTTAAGTTAAAGCTTGTGGGATAGCGCAGCATCGCTTATGCGCTGCATTCTTTGCATAACCAGTTATATGCACGTATGAACGCATTTTGCACAACCTCGGCATGATCTCACAGTTGTTGCATTCCTAGTGCAGGAAATGCTCAGCCAGTTTCCATGCTGCAGTTCATGCTCCCCGCCCGAGGGTTTCCAATGCGTGTGCTGGTGGCTCAGCAGGCACGCTATCGCATGGCCTTTCCTTGATAACGCATGCAACCCCCCCTTCCAGAATCGTGTCCATGCGCATGCGCGGATGCGACATGGTTTGGACGAGAAACTTACATTCGTTCCGCAGGGTCAGTACAAGCTCTGCAGCAATGACATACGTACTCACAAACACACACACACACATACACACCTCTACCTCTACTGATTACTTCATGTAAGATTCACCACCATTGGCAAGTTTGCTGCTCCTCACGAGCACATCCAACTGTTTGTGTTGGGGTTCAAGGCATGCCCCTTCCGCCACACCCGGTGGAGCAAGTGGGATGCTTAGGCTTTGGGAGCGGGTATAATTCGAGGGAGAACCGAGCACGTGGACAAATACGAAACGTACGCAATCAACATAGGCTACACCGCTGTTGCACACATTCAGTGCGCCTGCACAAAAACGGGACACTGCATGTACCACATGTCGAATTTTATCGGGAATTCCTGCAGGAAGCTTGTACACGCTGGGAATTCAGCTTCCGCTTCACTCCGGCAAGTTCTCTGCGATTTCTACCAAGTACAAGTAAATCGTGGAGGCATCAAGGCTGGCGATTATGATAAGTTAGTCGAGCAATCTCAGTGCACAACTTAAAACGAACTATGGCAAGCTATGTGCAGGGCATCTGCAAGAAGAGGAACCATGAAATCTAGGTCAAGCCATGTATGTGAAAAACAAATTGCGCTGGGGGATGGTAACAAGCATGATCAACATGTGCATGATTCAGCAGGGCTTCTGACGAGTACAGAGGACAGAGCTCGTGCAATGGGATCAAAATCAGGGCCATGATGCAGGGCCAGTTCAGGTTACAGGCTTGTACACGGCATCAAATGAGTATTGTTCATGCTAGGTCTGGGCTATCATCTTGCTTTCTCCATGCTTGAGGGCGCACCCTCGCAGGGGACACCTTTTGGATTTAGATGACCCAGGCCAGGCTATCATCTTCTTCCATCGGGTCAAGGGAGCCCCCCGGCCACTTAAGCCCATCTGTTCGTGGGTTTAGTCTTTCGTTCTTTCGTTCGTTCTTTCTTTGATTCTTTAATATTTCTTTCTCTCTCTAGTCTTTCTTGAATCCGGCGGTCGCTCGAGTCAGGGCAAGGCAAGCCAGGTCCGGCATGTCCCAGACACAGCCGGTTGCCATTCCAACCTGCACAAGAGGCTCGCAAAGCAGCGTGAAAGCTGGCCGAAGGCGGGTCAGGTCCGTAGTCTATGCGTTGCCTTCTTGGCCTCCTCTTTGAGCCGATCCTCCAACACTGGCAGCGGACCTGGGGCATGACGTACACTTGTGAGGACTGGATCAGCTGGGAAATGATAGATGATATGTAAGACCAGCAACAATAACAGTGTCAGACAGCCACACGGGCCAGCATCACTGAGACTCGGTTCTTTCAGCAGAACCCTGCCACCAACCCTCCGACAAGGAGCGAAGCTCGGCTCGATGCAGACATTTGCAGACTCAAACCCAGGCATGTCAAGACTAGGCTTCCCTTCGATGTCGCACGCCACCTTGGGGATACCGCCGTTTCCGATTCTGAGGATGGCGCGTTCTAGGTGCCTGCCGCCCACGCGAGTGTTGACACACAACAGTGAATGGATAGTTTGTCTGGCCTTTGGCAGGGCGGATTCTGCACAGATTCAACGCCGCTTGTGTCTCGATGATGCGCCGTGCCGTCCGCACACCGTTTCTCGCGCCGCTGCTCCGCTCGTTGGGCATGGCTCCGCGATGTGCTGCTGCGCATTTGTGCGCTCTCTGCGGCATTGATTCGCCCCTTTGCGAAGAAGGATCGAATGTTCAGTTGGGCGTAGGACAGTTGAAACTCAGTCAGCCTACTAAGTCACTAAATATAGCAGCAAGCAGAAGTCGTTCTGGCATGGTTGAGTTAACTACAGCAACATGGCATGTCAAACACGAACCTGTGCGCTCATCCATCTCAGAAGCGGACCGTCGGCAAGTTCTGGCCTGGGCGAGTTTGATCCCTGGTCTCAACAGTTGTTGGCCAAGCTGCAAATTGCGCAGATTCTTGGAGTCGCACGGAGCGCCGCAAATATGGACCGCAATACCTACACTTACACCGCTAAGGAGCAAATTCTGCGAACCGTGACACAGCAACAAGATTCGGCTGAGCTGCGGTTCCCTGTGCCTTCAACCTCAGCGCACGCAAGTCCAAGAATTCCGCTTGCCATAGCTACTGCGATACGCATGGTACTGATCGCAACCGCATCAAGAATCCGAAGCCAAATGCCTTACCTTACACCTTTTACCGCGATCGCTCGGAGCGATGATATTTTTGTTATCTTTTAGCTTTATTTTGACAGCTTTGTTGGCTTGGTTTGCTTGTCGCTAGCGTTTCGGAACATTACACGATGGTCCTGAATTTCATCGCTTTCTGCACCGGGTGACTTTTGTGTATTCCGGGTTTGGTGTTAGTTTCTTTTCTGGTTTATGGGCTTCCTGAATTCTTTTCGGGCCCGTGCTGTGAAGAACTTGACCGATTCAATCAGATTCTAATAACACTGTGATAGGATCCTGATGGATTTCCAATCCGGTTTGATGGAGTTGAAGGGTTCTTTGCAATTTTGCATAGGATCATACCGGCATGTTCTGCTTACCATGTGCAGGTTTCTGTTTGCGGCGAATGTAATAAATAGTTATGCTACTACGCTACTATTGCCAATCGTGATCATAAATCATAATGAGAATAATTGCAATACTTGTCGCACTGCTATAGTAGTAATACAGGTGATCATTATGATATTGTTGATTCGGAATTGAAAGGGTTCGTACGGGTTGTGTTTCGTTGGTACCATGTTCCTTGAATCAAGCTTGCGGCTTAAACAAACGGGTGGGTTGGGGGGAAGAAGGCTTGTAGGGTTCTGAAAGGGTTCGTACAGGGTACGATTGAACAAGCAGTGGGTTGGGGGGGTGAGGGGGGGGCAACAGAATGCCGGAATGATGGGCATTGATGGGCTTTGAAACATTTCATCAGCTTATCAATGATGAAGCTTGCACGGCTTGAGAGAGCTGGGTTAGGGGAGGCGCAGGCCCCTCGATTGCAAACACAATGCCTATATGATGATTTCTGAGGGTTCATGCGCGTTCCGTTCTTGAAAGCACGACGCTCCTTCTCACCGTCGACCTGAATTGGAGCATCTCTGAGCTCCTCGACTTGCAACCATTCAGCTCCAGTCTCACTTCAAAACTGAGCTTTTTGCTTGTGGTTTAATAAGAGCAGCTCTGCCTCTCGTGCTCCTCAGCCTTGGAGTATAAGTGACTTATTAGTGCATCGTCCAGTGAGGGCTCCAGTGCGGCCCGACGCGTCGTTGCGGTCTCCCGCCCCCAGGGTGTCCGCACATCCGTTACAGAGAAACGTAGGGATTCATGTCGCGTCTGCTACTTCCTGGCCATCATATTCTCAGACGAAGAGGCGAATGGTAAGAAAAGATGGCACAACCCAAGGCGCAGATGATCCAACCGAAAGGGCCGATTACTCGTGCTCAACCAAAACAAGCCACTTT